ACAAACGGGATTGATGCCGCCAAATAGTCCTTGTGTCATGTGGCGGCTTCTTTGAATAACACAGAGATTAATTGATTAATTTGGTTGTTTTAAACGTAATTATGAATTTCGGTCTGATAACTTTCTTAATGTCGGTTACGACATCTTCCTGTCGATTTCCTTATTTTATGATAATTGAGCAGAGATTTTGATCTGTGGCCTGTCATTAAATAGAGATAGCTGACCAAATAACTGGCTTGTCATGGGGACATTTAGATTTGTGCGACCGCTCTCTGCACAGTACCAATAATTATACAGTAATACTTCCTATTTATTGCTCGTAATGCCAGTGTTACTATAACTGGTTAAGCGTCCCTTTGTTGCATTGCGTCTGATATGAAATATTTCACCTCTGAAATGTTGGCGAGGGCGATTATACATTCTGCCAACACTGGAAGCTTTTGAATAGCTTGCCTATATCGTTGATCATAGGTTGACCTGTTTTGTGCCCAGAGCTATTTCGAAAGGTACATGCAAATGTACCGGGTACATGTATGTATGTGAATGTGACCTTAATCTAAGAATCATCAAAAATGTCTGATTGGTACAAGCCATATTTTATTGACATGCATTAAACAAACAATTATAATATAATAATAATAATAATTTATTGTCATATTAATACAAGTATAAAATGAAAATTGGTATGAGCTGTCGATAAAATGTAATACAATGGAATTATTAAAATACATTTTGTTCATTAATAATGCGTACTGCTGATGGATAAAACTATTTTTAGTGCGCGTGGAGGTCGGCTTGATGACATACGCATAAAGCCCCCTTTACACTGGACGGCGTCCTTTCTGCGTCCAGCAGCACGGCCCCATTTGAGAGTTAAAAAATTATAATGCTTTACGTGCCGACAACTGGCCGATCATTGAGCATTCATTCTGATACAAAATTAATGCTCGTGCCTTCTTATTAAGACCACAGCGATGCCAAATTTCATGGTCGCAGAAAGGACGCCGTCCAGTGTAAAGGGGGCATTAGTAGGCTATTTGCTGGGTGACCAGGGTCACCGTGATTGACTTAATTTCACTAAGGCGTGCCAGTATTTATCTCTGTAGTCTTGGAAAAGTTATTGCCGACTTTGACCTGTTGAGTACGATTAATTAAGAAATTTAAAATCCAATTACTGAGTGATGTACTAAAATGGAGAGAGTTAATAAGTTTTTTTTTTTTTTTGAACAAATGGTATTTAACAAGCATAGCAGCTAAAATTCCAGGCCGATGTGTGTTTCAGTTTTGATAACTGGGGCTGGCATGTTTAATTCACAGTTTGTTCGCTTTCACAGTAAGAGCTGTGTGACAAAGAACAAGGTCAAATGTACTTTTACGTCACACTTCCTTTTCGTTTGACGCACATAATTGTCCATTGCTCTTCATATGTAGCTCAGCGTTATACATTAAGATGATTCACAATCTTATCGGTCAATCATTACGGTCACTTTATATGCAGAGAGAAGCGCTGATTAGGTAATTATCCCATCGGTCAGTCTTTTACGCTACCATACTTTTCGTCGGGGTGGGGGGTATTGGATAAGAAATAAAAGGCCGTACATGTACCTGTAGCTACCATTCAAAGGCCGAGGGGCTTCGGACTCGAAACAAATGTAAATTGAAGTATTTTTAAGAGACATTTATATTTTGAAATTAACATTTGACAGACAAGGTTTTAAGTTGCTGTATATGCATTTATTTGAAGGTATATCGTTAAGCGTTGTTTGGGGTTTTATTAATCATAGCAATATGTATTTGAGTTTTCAAATTACATTATTTCATTGTCAATTTGGATTTCATCGATGTGAATTTTAAAAAGGAGTCTTCTTAATATTAAGTTTTCATAAATTATAAGTTTGCTCTGACATTATTACGTCTTGGGAAGAGCATATTGTTCGGTAAGGTTCTCCTTAAGCACGGGTTGTTGCCAACATAATTTCAAACGCTTTATTTTTCAGTAAAGACAATGGCGACACAGCAAAAATGTGCTTACAGCGCGTACCTCCCGACATTTTTCGATAAATTTGGTGGAAGTTACCCTCCTCGCTCAGTTTTCCACGACTGGCCAACATGTTTTCAAATCTATCAAGATGTCTGCCTTGAAATGCCTGAGAAGTTATACGCTCTCAACAGTTCAGAGAAGTTCAGGGAATGGATGACGGAGGAACTAAGCGGGGTAAGTACGATTTGATGAAATTCAAAACTCTCTCGCACGTCATGTACACTTTAAATAGGCTTTCGAGCTAATTTTATCGGTTTAAAATTTTTAAAGGAAAGTTAAAATATACCACAATATTATTTGATCTATTCGTATTCTTTCCAACATGCTCTCATAAATGTTTATTCAGTTATATATCCATTAATTCAGGTCGATTTGTTGAAAGTTGGCGAAGCCATCACGTCGCTGATTAACACGGATAGTATCCCGGTGTTGACGGGCTACCTGGCCTGTCTGAGCTACCTGGCACACGCCTATCGCTGGGGTACAGTACCGACCACGAGCCTGGAACGGGAGAGAAGCACCCTAGAATTCCCTGACTGCCTCTGGGACCCTTTTAAAAAGGTAATACAATAATCTAAAGAAAAATTTCTTGAATCCGTTCAAGCTAAATAAGACCGGGCTATCCTGGGTGCACCTCAGCAAGCTGCCAGCCAAGCGGTGAGAGGTGACCCTGGTTGGCAGTCAAAGAGGAGCACTATTGATAAAAAGTTAGGTTATTTTGATTGACTCAAGATTATGGCCTTTTTTCTTTTACTTTTATTTAAAAAATTTACCTTTGACAATGTTTTTCTGATAACTTTCTTTACAATTTAATTCCCTTTTTTTTTATTTAAGCTGATAATTTTGGCGTATTTAATTATCAATTCCTTAATGTCTCAATTAGGATATTAAGTATGTTAATTTTTTATTAAAACATTCAAGGAAATTTTATTATTTTTTTCCAATTTCATGAAAAACAGGTAAATGATTATTTTGGGCTTCCATATCGTGGCAACCACTTTTCACTCATGGCATGCAACGCAATTTTTGATAAAAATGGATCGCCTGTGGGTATGAAGTTCAAGTGGAATTTTGACCCAGAAATAGCGTACCAGGAAAGTAACTTCATGTTACTGATGGCAAAAGCCGAGTGTGAAGTCCCTCCTATCCTCGGTGCTTTCGGAGAGTATTTGGATTTGCTTCAAACCTTCACCACCGCAGACGACAGGAGTGACGTGGAACAGCAGATGATCGAAAAGGTGTACCTTGCAAAGGGGCACCTCTCGGCACTTCTTAGACAGGCCAATAAAATAATGCACGACAGTTTCATTTCAAGGGAGGTCTTTGCACCGCACATCCAGGGAATGATTGCATGGGGATTAAGCACGGACGTTGGGTCGTCTGCTGCGGAAAATCTCATTTTCCAGGCACTCAATGTTTTTTGCGACATGGAGGGTGCGAGCGAAATGAGTCGTTTTGGAATGAAGACGCGGAAGAGCATCCCAGACACCTCCAGGGTTTTATTGAAGAAGCTTGAAGAGAGCACTAAAGGAAATCTCTTTCCTACAGAGAAACTGATCCAAGCCAAAGCTGACTTGATTACGGTATTTTATGCCTTTATTTTGGGACATGCGCGAAAGGTACCCGACTACATAGCTAAAAGTCCAATGACTGCATCCAGATTTTTATTAAAAGATTTGGTATCCAACTTCAAGCGTAAAATGAAGGAGCGGTGCGACGAAGTTTTATTTGTTCGAAATAAAGCTTTGGGCAGATCAGCTGACAACGCCATCAACGGCAGTGGAATCGAGAAAACCTTTGCGTGGTCTTGGAGTAAGGCGTTGTTTTATTGTCAAAAGGCGCTCGTGATGAGGTCTAATTGTCGATTGCCAATTTGGAATTATTCTCATCTGTTAATTATTGCTTTCTTATGTTTGTTATGCCCAGTTATCTTTCTGTGAGTGTAAAAACCTCTTTTGTTTACTATGACTGTATTTTGTAAAGACATTCCATGTGCACATCAAGTGCATGTGCAGATTTGACTGAAAAACACCCGTTTAAAGCGAATTTTGACCGTTTTGATGATTTCTTGATATATCCTACAAGTTTTGCAGTAGTTCTAAACACTGAAAAAAAAAACGTTTTCTATAATTGATCTTTTGTTCGTTTCCGATGAAATTCATTGTTCTTCACAAAATTACAAGAAAACAGCTTTTACGATCATGTGATAAAGACTCCAAGACTGAAACACACGAGTCGCCCTCAATGCAAGGATCAAAGGTTTAATGAAGATGCATATTTAGAGTGTATATCTGTAATGTCTTAGTGGAGGCTAAGAAAACCAGTGTAAGGTACATAAACTGTAGTCAGATCCATTATGTATTGTATTATGGGTTCAGGGTTCATAAATTTAGTCCTATAGGCCTAGTAATGACGTTTGTTTGCTTGGACTGGATTATGATTGGAAACTTGACAATAATAAAATATTAATTCAAAAGATTTGCGAATAAAGTTATATGGAATACATGTTTACATTATTTTTTTGTCCATTGCATTCTAATTTGCTAAGTTTTCTTATCTTATTTAGCCTGTTTTGGTATGGTCTCAATATGAAGATTCTCTCTTCATCCAGGCTTGGATAATTATACGACAAATTAAAGAACCCAGTTGATATTTGCCTTCTGTTTTTATCTTAACGTCGGACATGCAACCCAAATTCACTTTGTTGTTTTATTGTACTAAAAAATTCTGTGACTTACAAAATAACATTAAAACAAAAGAACCAACAGAAGCAAGCTATTTAAATTAAATTATGATACATGTATATTGACAAGCATCCACCTTCAGAAGTCGAAACACCATTGCTTGTCAAATATGTAAGGTTGTAACAGTTCCTGTTTATTTAAATACATAATTGGAAAATCAAGATAAGTTGCAATTATGCAAATTATATTATATTAAATCTAAAATAAATAGTGCTCTATTGGTTCGGCACTCGCTTCGTCCGAACTTCTTCCTCTTTCCTTTCCCAGCCCGCCCCCGCTACTAAAAATAAAAAAAATGTGCTTGATTTGAAACAAACATTTAAGCACACCAAACGCATTCAGACTGAATGGCATTTGAATATCTGACATCAGAAAAATAACTCCTCGCGTGAATTCACAAGCACGGTGTTTGCGCTGCTTTTATTTTGTTGTGCGCAGTCGTACGTCATAGAATTTTGACATTACAGTAAAAGGTGTAAAGGCGTACTGTAGGCGTTTGTAAACTTCTCAATTTCGTATTTTCTATGTCCACATAAATTGCAAAGCCGCTATTCTTTTCCAATGCAGAACTTAAAAATATCAAACACCTCAAATAAAAGTACCTGATACCTTTAGTTCCTTCTCTGCAATCTATAGGAAGACATGGCGTTCACTGGCCAGTCAATAAATTAATAATGGTGATCACATGATGTCATCGAATCCAAGTGAAGAGACAGGCATAGCAGTGGATTGCGAGTAGCAGAAAATGCTTTTTTTCTCCGCGAGGAAAAAGTACCTGTAAAGGGATAACAACTCTTGATTTTTTTGTCGGAAAAATGCCATAAATCGAATTTTTCTGGTATTACCATACTTACTAATGGTTAATGAGTCCATTCCAACATTCAAAGCTAGTCGATTTTTTTGTGCTTTTGTAATATGGAAGATAACCATCAATAAAGGTCCTCGTGGTTTGATTGCAAGCCTAGATTTCAGAATAATTGCGATAATCGCCGTTTAGGTGGTAAAATGGAATTTATTATATTTCTGTGTGTTGTTTACAATATATTTACTGTGGTATTTTGAATTTCATATGAAGAGTTGTAAGCTTTTTAACAACACAATATAATGATAATTTGCTTTGGGATTTGTGAGGTGTGGATATGGACATATGTGCAGACTGTGAATTTTATACCGGTGTAGCATGAATCGTTCGGAGCGTGAACCATCCGTTCTGCTCATGCGCACGAAGCGCAGGCACATCTGAGAGACTTCTGGCGTGTTATGTCCGTTTCTGTCGATTCATCAATACATTATGCTTGATTTATATTAGATTTATATTAGATTTGATAAGTAGAATTGTGTAACAGATGATAAGAAACATGGAGTACGATTTTGTGATTAACAAGCGGGCTATCATGATTCCAGTCATTGTCACATAATTAAGTACATTCTTAGGGTTCGTTCACATGAAAAATCTATTTTCTTAAAATCTAAAAATCTATTTTCGGTATCTTGTGATCACGGTCTGTGCCCTGAGTACCCCACGGCATAATTACGGGCAGCGCGAGCCAGTTACTTCCAAAGCTGTAATTAATTCTCGGCGCTTCCAGTAATTACGCCGCGGGGTATTCAGGGCACAGACCGTGATCACAAGATACCGCAAATAGATTTTTAGATTTTTTAGAAAATAGATTTTTCATGTGAATGGAGCCTTAGACTTTAATAAACATACTGTGTTGAGAACATACTTCAAACTCAAACATAATCTTTAAAAATATCAATATCTTATAGTTGTTCACCTCTACTGCAATTTCCCTCAGGTGGCCATATCAACACACTAGCCTAGTAAAATCAATACAATAATACATGTTGTAGGCCAAGGGCTGGATAACGACGGCCTGTCCACGGTAGGTTCATCCATGCGTCGAACTAATTTGACGCTGAAAATTATCAATTAAAAATTCTGTATTAACACATGAATTTTACCCAGAAATATCTCCATTATATTAAATATATGATGAGGTAAGTAACAAGCCACATAAATGCACTAGCATAGTATAACAGTGCAGGTGAATAACAACGGATCATTCACGGAACGGCTCATACACGCGTCTGCTGCGTGTACAATCGGTTAGGAAAATGGTTCACGCAGAACAGACCGTACACGTGACACCGGACTTTTAATTTGCCGTAGCGATTGGATAGATAGATGGTCTTAATACCCACAAGCCACATCAACACGCCCCAGTCGTTTTGAGATCGTTTTCGCTGGGATAAGATAAGAATTAATATATTGTAATCCAGAGGAATATTCCGAAACATCGAAATATAGAATAAAGTTAAATGTTAATTCAATTTTTGTTGACTTTTTTACGTTTTGATTTGGTCTATCTTTGTTGATTATCAAGTGCAGTCCACATGTATTATTTCTTCTAACACATTTTTTCGTGAAACGCACACAATGACAACATTACAAAAATACATTGTGTAGTGGATCTTAGTGTGAACAGCTACTGGTTTTGTAATCAGACTTTACTGATATGCAATCAAACTTTGTTGTAGGCAAAACTTAGTACAAATATGGAGAGCACCTAATTCCTTTGAATAAACATTGTTAAAAAAGTACAAATATACATTTTAAAATTAAATGGAATTCTGTGCAGAGAAAATATTAGGGACCTCTCGCAGAAAGCAGACCGCCGTCAAATGTTGATCAATGCACTCGTTTGAAAACCTACATGTAATACCGGGGAAGTAACTAGAGGCTGACTGTTGATAAAATGCGTGTAGGTCACCTTAGATTGTTGGTCATGGTAATAATGACATTCCTCGCCGGTCTTTCCTTAACACATGTCTATTATATCTTTCGGGTTCATGGTTTGAAAACATTCATATTACACTTTTTGATAAAAAAATCTGCATCATGTTAATTACTTGTTTGTTTTCAAAATGGACATCTGCGATTTTAAATCCCCTATATCGGCATAACTATAAGCAACTGGTCCCCGAAGACAGCTTGCATTTGGAGTCGTTGTCACATTATCGCTGTCGACTTTTCGTTTTAACGTTGGGAAGTGGCTATGACCAGCCATTGTCCCAATCTGTCTCAAAATTAATCAAGTAGAGTTATATTGAGTAGATAATAGAAAATAGGGCGTCTTCGTAAATACATGAAGTTAGGAATGAACAGATATGAATATAGATGATGAAACACGTTTTATTACGAATAATTCCATAGATCGTAATAATATGCACGAATGCAAACGAGTCTATCAGACAAAGGCATTAGTACAGGCTTTTTCAGTCTCCCTATTCAAATCAATTAAGTATGCAAAATATCTAGACACAATACATTTGTACATACAACTCGATCAAAGCTTACGGGAGTTAAGCATGTCTTATAAATCAACAAATGGAAAACAATATAATTAATTGAATACAGTTAAAACGTAATGTTGATCGCCATAGATTTATATCAAACTAATCAAGAATCGGATCTTGACTAATAAACAAGTAAAATGAAGTGAATTTGTATCAAAATTAGCAATTTAATATAAAATGGCAATCTAGAATGATATTGAAATAACACCGAAATTAGAGATTGACTAAGGAACCGACATTGGTTGCAATGAATTTCAACATGGACGAGCGAAAGCTTAAATATAGCAATTGTTTTCATAATGTTTATTTCAATTGCAATACTTGAAGCTTAAATTGGACATTTTAGGAAACCATCAAACTTGATCAAATAAGCTTTAAAGGAGAATTTCACTCATATGATGTACGGTTGTTATCTTCAAGTTGAATCTCAATCTGTGACTTACAAATGGACTGTTTTGATAGTATATAGCCAAATATAAGTTGCGTTTTGCAATACGCACTGCAAGATGAATGGAAATTATATATATATATATATATAAAGAAAATGAAAAAATTAGTAACTCAGGAAAATAAAATCAGTATTGTCAATAATTTCAAATTAGACTTCAGGATTGCCTTTCCCCAACAAAACAACGCCTTACTCCAAGACCACGCTTTGTTTTCTTCGATTCCATTGTCGTTATTGTTGTTGTCAGATGATCTGCCCTGAGCTTTCTTTCTGGCAGATAAAACTTCGTTGCACCGTGCTTTCATTTGACGCCTAAATTTGGATACCAAATCCTTCTTCAAGAACCCGGACGCAGTCATTGGACATTCGGCTATATAGTCTGGTACCTTTCGCGCATGCCCCAAAAGAAAGGCATAATATACCGTAATCAAGTCTGCCTTTGCTTGGGCCAGTTTCTCTGTCGGAAAGATATAACCTTTTGTGCTCTCCTCAAATTTATTTAATAAAACCCTGGAATTTTCTGGGATGTTCTCCCGCGTCCTCTTTCCAAAACGACTCATTTCGCTCGCACCCTCCATGTCGCAAAACACATTGAGTACCTGGAAAATGAGATTTTCAGAAGCAGACGACCCAATGTCTGAGTCTAATCCCCATGCAATCATTCCCTGAATGTGTGGTGCAAAGACCTTCCTTGAAATAAAACTGTCGTGCATGTTTGTGTTGACCTGTCTTAGAACTGCCACGAGGTGTCCTTTTGCAAGATTAACCTTTTCTATCATTTGCTGTTCGACGTCATTCCTGTAGTCTGCGGTCGTGAAGGTTTGAAGCAAATCCAAGTACTCTCCGAGAGAACTGAGGACGTGAGGGGCTTCACACTCGGCTTTTGCCATCAGCAGCTTGAAGTTTTTTTCCTGGTTCGCTTTTGCTGGTTCATAATTCCACTTGAACTTCATACCTACTGGCGATCCATTTTCGTCATAAATAGCGTTGCATGCCATCAGTGAAAAGTGGTTGCCACGATATGGAAGCCCGAAATAATCATTTACCTTTTTTTCATGAAATTGGTAAAAAATAAAATCTTATTGAAAATTTCTGTATAAAATAACACAAAAAATACCAAAATCGAGACATGAAGCAATGGACAAATAAATATGCTCTATTACTCGTGTTGCTCTGCCAGTAAAAGAAGAACTGGGTGAGAACTTCATAAAATGTCATATTTTTTAAATAAGATATAATGTTAATGATTATTATAGGTTGCTATACGCAGAATAATTATCGCGTGTAATGTAATGTTCCTTTCATTAGATGTGTGTAATACCTTTTTAAAAGGGTCCCAGAGGCAGTCTGGGAATTCGAGAGTGCTTCTTTCCCGTTCCAGGCTCGTGGTTGGTACTGTGCCCCAGCGATAGGCGTGTGCCAGGTAGCTCAGACAGGCCAGGTAGCCCGCCAGCACATGGATACACTCCCCGTCAATCAGAGACGTGATGGCAACGTCAACTTTGAACAAATCGACCTGAAAAAATGTATAACTGGATAAACAATAATGAGAAAGAATGAAAGAAATAAAAAAAAAAAGAAATAGAAATAGAGATACAAATAAAAGAAGGATAAGAAGGCATAAAAATCCTAATTATCTTGAATAAAAAATCTTGAAGAACATAAAAGAGATTTTTCTGTTGTGCGTATGTTTATGTTAAAAAGAACGGTTTGAAAATCAAACGTAATTTTTACCGTTTGTATATCAAACAAGAACGATTATCTACTCCTAACAAATAGGCATATATTTGACACCGTTTTAAGCGTGTGTGCGCGTGTGTGTGCGTGCGTGTTTGTGTGTGTTTACGTGCGTGAGAGAGAGAGAGTGTGAGAGAGAAAATGTGATTCGCAAACTTAGTTTTGAATTTAAACAAATTACACTTATGATACTGACCCTGTCAAGTTCCTCTGTCATCCATTCCCTGAACTTCTCCGAACTGTTGAGCGTGTATAACTTCTCAGGCATTTCAAGGCAGACATCTTGGTAGGTTTGAAAACATGTAGGCCAGTCGTGAAAAACTGGCCGAGGAGGGTAACCTCCACCAAATTTATCGAAAAATGTCGGCAGGTACGCGCTGTAGGCACTTTTTTGCTGTGTCGCCATTGTTTTTCACTAAAATAAAAAGGCATTGAAATTATATTGACAGGGTTCCAAGCTTAAAGTGATAACAACGCTTTGAATGGCATCCATATTTCCAGGGCCGTAGCCTGAGCAAAGTGCCAGGGGGGGCAGTAAGCGGACACGAGGGGGCGAAGCCCCCGAGGGGGGAGGTTGTGGGAGGGGGTGTCCCCCTCCAATGGTGTGGAAAAATTTTTAAAAACTGTATACATAATACTGCATTCTGGTGCATTTTAACTGTTATTTATTGCTCAATCAGAAGTCAAAAATTATTGCAATTATTTTTTTTTTACCTTTGCGATTATTTTTTTTGCACCTCAAATCCCAGGGGGGCAGCTGCCCCCCCCTGCCCCTCCGGAGGCTACAGCCCTGATTTCACAATTAATCCATAAAAAAACACCCCATACAGATATAATAAATTCATTTTTACCACCAAAACGGCGGTTATCGCAATTATACTGGAATCTGTGCTTGCCATTGGACCTCCATAGACGGCTTCCTCGATCTCTCGAGAGATTATTACAAAAAAAAAAAAAAAAAAAAAAAAAAAAAAAACTCAGGCACTAACTTCGAATGAACGGATTCATTAACCATTGCTGAGTATGGGAAAATTGTCGTTTACCCCAGGAAAATCCTTTTTTGCCAAAATGAACAGTTGTTATCCTGTTAAGGAATATCCTACGCCACTACAAACAGGTACGCTGTAGTTCTGTAATACAGCAAAATATCATCAACCCTTTGAAGTTATCAGGACTTAACCTTTGTAAATTATTTTTAAGTGTTTTTTTATTCATATCGATCATTGATGACAACAAAATAACATTGGTTTGAAAGCCCAAATATGCAACATTATGTTTAATAAAACATAAAACAAGAACGAACGATATAGAACCTACCTTTAAAATGCATATGCAATGTTATAAGCAGAATCAAAACCTTGCCGATATCTAATGTAATAACCCGTAAATATCAAATTTTTATTAAAAAATCAAAACAAATTTCACTCAAAAATATCTAGCTTACCTGTTTCGAGTCAAGAGCTCTTCGACCTGTGAATGCAAGATACTGATAAGACATTGCTTTATATAGTTTCACCACAATACTGTTACGTGACCATAACCTACTGACCAATTTGTAAAATGCGCGAATTGCGAAACCAGAAAACTGGGCCACTCCCCTGCACAATTATGAAATATGGGGCGGTTTACCCATGTGTGTCGAGTGATTTAATCATCAGCCAAATAAGCTAAAATTTTAGCATTGAATGCTATCTGATTAAAACGGCGGCATATGAGGTCGTGCAAAACTGAAAAAAAATCACTCACAGATGTTTGTTTTCGTTCAGGAACTGTCCGGTGTAGATCAAGTCACAAGGTGTGACAAGGACTTTTCGCTGATTACGTTACATTACTACTCGATTATTATAATGAGGATACACGTGTCTTTATAACCCTTAGCGCCACCTTTTGTCTACGCTTGCCGTAGTACACATTATATTCTGTCCTTGGTTTACTCTACCCAGCACACTGCACGCAGTAGCCTACACTGTAAGGAGCGCGTATATGAGACGTCGGCGACGCATGCATTTTGTGAAATATTTACATTACCACTTTCTAGTTACTGTTGACTTCTTGCTGTATAGGATTGCTCTATGATAAACAGCGAAAATAATCGGGCAAGTCAAAATTATGCCAATGTGTTCGTCATTTGCGTGACTCAGATCTATGCTTGCTTTTTTTTTTTTTTTTTTTTGAATTACCCTCGTATCATTACGGGTAAGCTTTTTATTCGGGTGCCCAATTTTAAACCCTCTTTCCCACTAGTAGTTTTTCATGAAATCTCGAGAAAAGATTGATTTTATTATTTATTATTATTTTTTGGGGGGCGGGGGGGGGGGGGAGGGGGAATGGTTCGCACAATTTGATCGAGTGCTACTTGCGTGCACCCTTAGTAAAAAAAAATGTCTCAGCTGAACACATTAACAACACTTTTTTTTATATCGAGTCACACTTGGTATCTTAATAAAAGATTCAGTATAGTTCTATTATGAAAGATAACATTGTATATATGCCCCGTTCTAAATATAAACTCAGATAAAATAGTTCTAAGTTTTTGCATTCAAATGATGGAACAATTGGCTGTCAGGTTGTTAAAAAAAGTAAATAGGGCCTACATATGATGCTTTTTAAATTGCTTAAGAAGGCAAGAAGTGTAAATTTGCATGTGCAAACATGGGATATTTTTATTGGCCATTTTTTCTTTTCATGAAGAATATGTTCTTATCATTAATTCTTTATATCTTATTGTTTATAACTTATATAAGGTTTATCTATTTTATCATCATTATCTTTCAAATCCGCCCAAAGCTCAGTAGAGTTTGAGTTTTATAGTGTGTGCTATATACCTAAAAATTAAGTTGACTTATGATTTGTATATCGCGTCCAAGTCTCAAGGTAAAAAATGTTCTGTGGTGGGGAAACCACGTCGCGCATGCGCACAACATTAAAAAGAAAGTTCGGTATCAGAAGCAACTGCTCATGGACGGCGGGGACGTTAACGTGTTCGCTGGCATTCTTTCTGTCAGCCTTGCTAAATATGTCTTTGCATGGTGGGCCCAACGCAGTTCTCAGAACTTCAAGCTAGTTGGAAGAGTTTCTGGTTTGTACCTTCACCCAGTTAAGTCCTGTAAAGGGATTGACTTGCTCGGTGCGGAATGCACTAAGTTGGGCCTGAAGGTCGGCGATGTTGGGGACAGGTAAAGCAAATAAACCCGATACGGCAAAATAACCTAGATCCTTAGTATGTAAATAAAGCCATGTTGTCCATAGGCAATTGACAGTAGTAATAGACTGCGGTAAAGGTTTAGCAGTGAGTGTGTTGGGGGTGGGGTGGGGCGGGGGATGAATGAGAATCTTTTCTAAAGGGGGATTTTATATAAACGGGCCCGTAGACTACTAGAAGGCCTACCGTTTAGCGGGGATGTCACAAGAACAGTTATTTTAACGTTTGTGCACAACTTGCGACGATCCTCTAGATCTCCATAAATCAGCATTTTTAAAGAATTCATAATATGCTACAAAAATGTATAGTTTTGCCATTTTTATCAGCCTGATGCATCTAAAATACTTCTACATGCAACATATGTTTAGGATTGATTTGCATGATACATTTTTTCACTTGAAGGATCATAAACGGACAATCTGTCTGCAGGCCAGTTATTCTTATTGACATTTGTGTTTCCAAAATTTTAGAAAAAAACTGTTCAAAGTGATTGCCAAAAGCATGAATGTAAAAATCAGGATGAAGCTGGATTAAATTAAAATGTAACAGAATTTGTGAAGTTCCTTTTGGGTTTGAGCAACATTTTTTCTAAACACTGCACTGGATGTAATATTTACATTGCATATATATATATATATATATATATATATATATATATATATATATATATATATATATATATATGTTGTGGCACTACACGTAAAATTTTTTTAACAGCTCAGTAGTATATCATTTACTAAACAGTGGGGAAAAAACTGATTATAAATACCAAATGGAATTTTCATTATTTCTCTTTTTCTTAGGCAGTGGATGGTAATCAGAAAGGATGAGACATTTGTCAGCATAAGAGAGGAACCATCTATGGTCTTTATAGAGGTCAGCATCCAGGGCGATTGTTTGCATCTTGATGCTCCAGGAATGGAGACACTGAAAGTGCCTGTTCATATGCCATTGAATACCACAGATGTCAGGAACTGCATGTAATTATGAAATCTGAATTAAGGGGTGGGAATAGGGTGCAATGGACAAAAACAAAATGTTATTTTTGCCAAATTATTTCTATTATAATTTTTGAAATAGCATTATTTTAAATTGTTCAAGATAAGTAATTAGTAATAAAGAGGGAGGTACGTTACTTATTCCAGCTAAATTATTAGGTGCATAGTTTGATATCCATTCCAGTGTTAAAAAGTTAGATTTGATTTCATACTATGTAGTCTGTATATCGATAACTGACAGTCTAGACCATTGCTGTGATTGATAAAATGGCGTCTTGATATTATAGAATGCGGGACATGCGCTGCACAGGCTTGGACTGTGGGCAACAGGCAGCTGATTGGATGAACAGATATTTGAAACAAGATGGAATGCGTCTTGTATACTGTCATCCAAGTTTATCCAAAAGGGAGATGAGGACCAAGAAAACTTATTTCCCTAATCGTTCAAGACCAGGAGACCAGGTAAAATATCTTTTTCATCATAAAACACATTCTAGCTGACTTATTCATTTCTAAGGTGAGTTGAAGATACTCTCCACAGCCTTGAAAGTCCTCCACAGTCATATTTGCACCCTGCCAAGTTTCTCATAATGCCCAATTCAGACCTTAAAGTCAATAAAATCCTTTTAGTAGAAGTTTTTATTGTGAAGTGTACCTATGTGTCCTTATTATCGTTATCAGAAATTGTGATAAAGTTGTTTATCTTTTTTTTTTAATTTTATTGAGCACCAATTTATTATTGTTATAACTTGATGTTTAAATATAATGGAATATTCAGCAGTGAAGATCAAGTCAAATACAGTTCAGTTTTCCCTTTCATCACATATTATCCTACAGTTTTTATTCTAAGAAGACATCCCCACTGCTTTTCAGGCACTCTATCCAGACTTTAGTGCCTTCCTATTAATGTCAGAAGCTTCTGTGAAGAATGTCAACAGTAACCTGCCTGAAGGGAAAGAAGTTTACATGCGAACTTTCCGTCCAAATATAGTTGTCTCTGGTTGTCATGCCTTTGCAGAGGTAATACTATTTATTCTTGTTGTATCAATTATATGAAATGGGGTACCTTTCCAGCATATTTCTGTTTACTCTTTGGTGATAATCTGTGTGACAATTAAAGATGTTTATCAATGTATGTATAATATCATATATACAATGAATTTTTTTTAAAATTTAATAATTGGTATTTGTTCTTTGTGTAATATTTTGTGTGAATTTTTAAAAAAATTTAATTTTTCAAATAATTATAGGATGGTTGGCAGAGAGTTCGCATTGGAAACAACCAGTTTGTTAGGCTGAAACATTGTCAGAGGTAATGATTGGTTTTGCTATCATATGAAAAATAGAAGAAGTTAATAATTTTTAGAGCTAAAGCTGCTTTTGCTATACTTCTATACTATCATTGCAGAAAATAGCTTTATAGCCTGTTAGTAGCCACGGCATTTGCTTTTAAATGAACTGAAACAAGCTAATGTGTAAATTTTAGAGGCTTCTTATAAATAGTTATTGTTACTAATTATTGAAATCCATAAGAATATGACACAAGATGAAATTAGGATATATATATATATATATATATATATATATATATATATATATAAATCCGAGTCTAAGAATACAGGGTTTGTATAAGTAATTCACATGATCGATTTAAAACCATTTTCTGTGTGTAATTTTGTATTGTTCTAGGTGTATTATGACTACTGTGAATCCAGAAACTGGGATAAAAGATCCAGACAATGAACCACTGAAATCAATGAGCAAGTAGGTATAAACTTAAGCATGAAAAACTTCATGTTTGCAATATTTGAATGAACAGACTTGTGCAAGAATATGATTGCATTTTGACGTCTCCTTTTTTTATTTTTGCTTCATTAGGATAATTTCAACATTGGCTTTTATGAGCAAATGATTTTTTTCCATTTCTTTATGTTCCAGATACCGCCAACATCCAGATTTCCGTACCCCTGTGCTTGGGATTAATTTAGCAGCAGATGTCTGTGGACCTATCAGCGTTGGGGACCCAGTGTATGCAGTATTATCTGATTGAGTGAATCAGAATGATGGATTTTCAAACATTTTTTTATACTTGCCAAAATGTTTGCTTTTTTATAAACAGCTCACATTCCTCAATGAGCAAAACTGTGTTTTATATACTACTGTAATTGACCTTCATTTATTAAGAGCATGCAGCTGAATATAGAGCTATTTTTTACCACTTTTACTGATGTTAACAGGGTCTTGAGAAGCACCAGCATTGGCTTGCTAGAGAAGGCAGATTTATGCCTGTTAAAACACCAGTTTGTTCAATTATTACAGTCAAGTGCCATATTATTGGAGTTATACATTTAATATTTTACAAAAGAAGTAATTATTTTGTTTGCACAAATATTTTAAACAGCATTCCAGGTAAATAAAAACTAATGTGGAGGTTATAAGAAGTAATGTTGTTTTAAAAGTGGAAGGTATCTGTAGTTATGTTATATAGAATTCGAAGCTTTGGACGCCACCGTCTTCACTGTAGAGGTATAACACATTTTGCCTTGTCTAAAATAAAGTACAATTTTTGTAATCTATGCTTAGTCTTTAAATAAAAACTGTTAAATTTGAAAGATTTCAGACTCCCAACATAAACAGCAGGTTATATCATTCTATTTGTTTTTAGCCATGGATTTTGAAAGTCAAACTTAGCTTATTCAATCATCACAACCATTGTACTTGAATTGCCATTCATGAAGCCCAGTCTTTTAAATTAAACCACCTGGGATAGAATTTGTTACACAGAAAATAATGAGGCAGTTCATTCTTTATCTGCCCTCGTCTCAGGGCTGTAGGTCTGTGGTTTATTTGGCATTATATTTCCACACAATTGAGCAATGCTTATAAAACAAGCCCTTGAATAAAATAAAACAAATAATAAACAGATGAATTTGATGAATAAAAAAAACAAAAAAAACAATCACAACTTTTTATTTTAGCTTTTTTCTTCAACACAAAATTACAAACTAAATATCATCAAAGCTTGCCTCCCAAGATAAAATGCAATGTTTAAATGACGAATTAAACCTTACATATGATTATCTAAAATACAGACAGCTGTGTAATTTCAAACAACAAAGTATTTGTTTAATAATGGTCTACGAGTTCAACAAATGATACCAAAATACACTGCATCCAAAATGAAATATTACAACAAAATAAATTGCCTTAACTTCTAAAGTAAATGATAGCAAAAGGTAAACTATAAACTATACAGAAAACCTTTCAAAAATTTTATTAAACATTATTGCAAAAATTCTAATAAAATCAAGTGTGTTAAAAAACAGAAGACAAAACTTACCACTTTCCAGTAATGCATTGTGAAAATTATGTGGAAAATAATCTTGAAGAAAGTGGTGCCATGGTACAACATCCCCTTGATGTTTGTAACTCTAATATATTCAGTGTTGTAATATTTTATCAATTCAACTCTTTGTATAAAGAAATATACCTTTTCAAGATAACCTTGTAGCTCAACCCCTCTATCAATGAAAAAATTATGCTTTGCCTGAGAAAAAAAGATCCCTCAAATCATTTTAAATAAACATTTTAAATAAACTAACAAATGACTAGAGAGACAAGTCAAGACAATGCAAAGCCAACCAAAGTATATATAGTCCTTTTAAAATGTTCTGTTATAGTTTGTGGGTGATAAAAATAAGGTCCTCCACAGGAGAGAATCACAGGTTAATGAATTAACTGGAAAAAAAATACACCTTGTTTCGGTACAAAAATTAATGTCATACATGGAAAGTCAGCAAGATTGCCAAAAATGAAAGATCTATTGAAGTTCGCCATTCATTCTTTCCCCCCCTGAGATCAACATTCCTTTTTTGTAAACTATGAATGGAAATCTAAACAGTAACATTTTTCAACATCATAATTCTCAAGTCTGTGAATATGGGGTTACCTGAACATTTTATATAGAAAAGCATATGGGAGAAAAATTTCAGGCTTAAATATAAAACGCTCTAAAAAATAAATTATTTTAAATATGCAACTTTTCGGGCTCAATTTATTAGTTTTTAGCATAGTTCTTCACAATAAATTAAAAGAAAACAAAATCTGGGAGGGTCATGTTCCAATGCCCCTATGTTATTTTTCTGATTCTTACAGAGACTGGTACTTAATTATTTTCCTCAGTGTATTAACTGAAATTTATTAATCAATGATAATTTTTATTGAGAGAGAGTGAAAGGTGTGCAAATAAGTAAAAAACAAACCTGTCTTCCTAAGGAAAAACAAATTGATTTTATAGTATTAAACATGTAAATCCTTTGTTAGCTAAGGAATTGGACACACTCCTTTATCAAGGCAATGTAGGTAACATATGGTGATTATTCAATAAATACAAACACAATTGATAAATTACATTTCCAAAGGCAATGTCCTGCTTTAGATAACTGAACAGGATGATAAGAGGCACCAGGGAAATTGAATTTTTGTGAGTTATCAAAAATGATAAATTTTTTGTATAATGTGCAATTGGAATTGGGGATATTTTTTAAATATTTGAATGATTACAGTAAACCACATCAACATCAAAAGGTTTTGATTTTCTTTCCCAGCTCCAGCAGATATACCGCAGCCAGGTAGAGGAGACAGAGGGGCTGAACCAGGCACTACAAGCTGAGAGACAGCTCTATGTTAACCTCAATACTGTACCCAGGTATGGAGCCTTTAGTGATGAAGACTGAGATTGTATCAGTATTAAACACATTCTATAACAGAGTTAACTATTTGTGTTTCATATGAAAAATAACTCCAAGAAAAAGTGAAAGGTTTTTGGACTGGAGTTACAGTCTTTTAATTTATATCTTTTTATCTCAGGTTAAATGTTTATCTTAAATGCTCATAGTTCTGTATACAGAGCTATGAGCATTTAAGATGTTCATGTACAGTGATGTAGTATCGTTTGTAAGTTGTAAAAATAAAAAAGGTGAAGTATAATTTTTTTTTTTGCCAATTGGCTTTTGTTTTTTTTTGTTTTTTTCCAATTGGGAAAATGCAAAAAAAACAATAATAGATATTACCTGTACAGTCTAATTGCCTCCTGAACCATCCTTCAAAATCCAGTAAAATTGGTTTTGCGATGAATGGACTGTAATTCTCATCTTTGTGTCTGTGTTTGTGTCTATCAGTGGTCGTCCAGAGGCCTTTGAAGAGGAGCTGGCTGCAGTGCAGGCACTTCGTCGTCAGCTGGAGGAAGGCGTGGAGAGAAACAACCACCTCAGAGAGCTGCTGGAGAAACAGATGAATGAGGCCGCAAAGAAGAAACAGTCTTCCCATCACCTAGGTTAGTGATTTGGTAGACTTCAAAGAAATGGAATTATCAAATATTTCTTAGTTTGGTTACATTTCCTTAGAACATGACTACAAGTTTTTGTTCTTTTTGTTTACCTCCCTCCTTCCAAACAAAGTAAGAAAAAGGAAAAAAAGAAGGAAAATGGAGGAGTGTGTCAAGGGAAAATAAAGAGGAGTCAAAATAGTAAAATACCTTGTCTCAAAAAGAATAATTTCAGAACTGTATTAAGGTGTACCTTAAGTGAATATCCATTGTATGGTTTTTGTGCAGTGTGAAGTTACAATGCAGAATGCTTGCTCAGAAATATTAACAAATAAATAAATAAATGAATTTTAACTAATTAACGTAATAAACATGATCCTAATAATCATGAGAAATAGGTAACAAAAAAAAAAAAAATTAGAAATAGGTTACACTACAGAAAAGCTAGCAGTCTTTTAACAAACACTGCTGATTTTTTTTATTGGCTTTGAATGGACGTAGAGAACATTTCCCTCCTGAGTCAACTAATTGCTGTATGAGGTGACAAAATGAAGTATTGATTTTCTTGTGTCAACACAGCGGGGTGGGTGTCAACATTGTCTGGGTTGTGGTATTTGTTGGATTATTGATAAACTCTTATGAAAGAGACTGTCAGGTTATCAAGCCATGACCTGATTGTAGTTGTCAGAACTGGTGTATAGTATATAGTGTACTGGGTGGGGAAGGAAAATGTATTACAGGGATTACAGATAGGGAGAGAGTGTGTGTTCTGTGGTTGAGAATTATAATGCAAGCTGAACAAACGGTGGAATTTGAAGTTCATTTAGGGAGCATTTTATGTTTAAGAGAGAAAATGAAGCTGACAATCAGTGCAAGGATTTAAGATTCAGACTGGGAGAATGAGGAAAATATTCAGGTCACAAGAAATCTGGAAAAATGGAAAAAATTCTGAAAATGCAAGAGTCAAGTACTGAGTAAAACCAGATGAACAGGGGCATGTTATTTGCTATTTCTCACTTGTTGGGGTTGTGCTCTAGTTTTCTGGCCAGAGAAAGATGTATTACATCAAGCAAAGACTGAAGGGTGTGGTGTCGGCCGCGTTTGTACCAGGACCTGGGAGCCTGAACCTGCCAGTAGCGCCCTCTGACAGCTGGAGATAAGTGTTCATTAGGGGAGAAATGCCATATTTATCTCTACCCCCCCCCCCCCCCCTTCCTTCCAGAACCAACGCAGTTGCGATTTTATAGTGTGATTGTCTTCTTTCCAGCACTTATTATTGCAGGATAGACAATATAATTCAAAATAGGAGGAAATTCAAATTATGATAATCCCAGTCTTATTTTCATACTTGTGACCTGGGCAAGGTGTGGACTACGTTATCATGGAGTTATTGTCCAGTTTCTTTTATTTTTACAGAAGACAACCCAGAACAAGTATCATCTCTCCAGGAGCAAGTCCAGGCCCTGAATAACCAGCTGGAGGAGAGCAAACGCTGGAATGTCTCCCTGCAGTCCAGACTGGAACAGCAGCAACAAAGAGGAGGGGGTGTGGGCAGGGCCAGGGAAACTGTAGAAATACAGGGAACTGAGAATGTTGTGAGTATACAGTATAGTTTAGGCAGTGTGGGAGAACCAGAAACTGGAAAAGATATGCTTTAAATATGTTGTATGAAAAAATCAGGCTTTTTTTGATGTAGCAGCTGTTAAATAATAATACTGGTTTGACTTTTAGAATTGTATGTGGTAGATATAGAATTGAAACCTTATACTATTATTTAAGTCTGTTTGTGAAAATAAATGTTGCATTGAAATAAAAACAAAGGGATTATTGGATACCAGTGGTTCTACTTGGAGAAAACAACCAACATTTAACCAATCATAATCCTCCTTCTACCAGGTCTCCACCTCCAATGACAGTAGTGACCAGTCCAGCAGTGTGTCTGACAGTGACAACATCAGTGACAGGGAACTGTCAGTCAAACAGTTGAGGGAGGAGCTAGCAAAGATGAGGTTAAAAGTCAAAGAAAAGAGGCGCCACAACAAGCAGTTGAAATACCAGTTACAGCAAGGCATGGTGGAACACAGAGATATCCCAGGTAAATATGGACTCGGAGGCAGACAGAAGTCATCTTCTGGGCAACTTATATTTTCAGTCAGAAGATGGTCAAAATTGGAGGATGGACCGTAAAATTATTTGGAGGACTATCAATATATATCTCTGGATCAGCCCCAGGGTGGCTTAGGAGCCCTAACAGAAATTACCCATAGCGTCCTATAAGACTCTTGGAAATTAGTCCTATAAAGTCATCCTATAGCATGTTCAATAGAGTTTCCTACATAGTCCTGTAGGATGCCTATAGAGTCCCAACAAGTCTTATAGGAAATTTTCTTAAGGGAACTAGCTATTGGATTGGTTTTCTCTCAGATGTTGGAGTTTAAATATGGCCAAGATAACATATTTGACAAGACGTAATAAATGACAGTTTTCTAAATTATAACAGTGTAGGGGCAAATTGTAACAATGCACATATATATGGGTAGATCAAGTTCACAGCTTGCATTAATGAATGGCATTTTACAACACAAAAATTGTGTTGCATTATTCAATTTAGCAACTGAATCAAGCTAGCAAACTTAAAAAACTCTATCTTAGTCAAACACAGAAGGATCTATTGTCCAATGACTTTGACTTTTTGGAGACAAATCACCAATAAGTTTTTTTCCAAGGAATTTCTGAGCCTCTGTTTAATCAAATCTTGCAGGGTAGTTTGAGATATAATTAGGTATTAACCTGATGTGAATGCTTTTTCCATCAATTTTAAAAGATTAATATTTTTATGTAGGCAGACATAGTGTGTCTGTATAAATAGCCATCACCTGCATCTGTTGTTATCTGTATCCTCATTGCTATGCACTTTCCACTGTAGGCACTATTTATGGAAAACCTATTATCCTCAAACTTACTGGATTGGTGTATGGCACTCAAATACAGACCAAGTTCAAACAGCAGCTTTGTTGAATTATTTTTATTGAAGTTCTGCGGTTTTTAAAATTTAATACAATGAACTGATGTTTTATTTCTAGGTGAGAATGTGAGTGACCTGGATCCAGTGGAGAGTACAGGTGTGTCTTCCCTGCCACCAGGCCAGCAGTTAGAGCAGCTGAGAGCCAAACTAAAACAGCAGGGCAAGGAGAACCTAGTGCTGAGGAGATGCTTGGACCTGGACACAGAGTTACCTGTACCTAACATCCCAGACCTACCCAAGGTTAAACACATGAGGAACGAAATGGAAAAGTATGTGGATGTATTGCATTTTAGTCATGAATTCAGTCACTGATGAGTGATCAGTGGTTGGTGAATTTATCCATTATAAAAAGTTTGCCAAGTTCATGGGTAACTGTTTGAACTGTTGAGGATATTTCTAAGATTAACTTACCCATCAAGGCTTGGCAGGGGCAGAGTACATCTTTTGCTCAAACATGTCATAGTAGTTACTGTAGACTTCATTTTGCAGCAGTGTATTGGCACATTCAATCCTTTTCCTATATGAAAAGTAAGGATCCTCTCATTTTGTCGTACATAATTCAAGATTAAATTTTGTTTTATTATAATCAGGATGAAGGAGCTGCTGCGACAGGCAGAGCATCAGAATGACCTGTTGAAGAAACAAATAGAACTGGATACCTCCACAGATGACATACCATCTGGGTTCAACCCAGAGCTCATCATTCAGATGTCCCATGAGATTGAGAGGCTCAAAGGGGAGCTGACAGTAACCAGGGAGAAGCTGGAAGCAGCAGTGGAGGGTAAACCCAGTGGAAAACCCCCATCGGGACCCCACAAGAGCCAGATTCCCACCTTGAAGACTCCCCCTGCTGGGCAGAGCACAGGAGCTAACGCTGCCTTGAGGCAGAAAGTGGAGAGCTTACGAGGCCAGCTCCACGAGAGCAAAGTGCTCCTGAGGACGCTGCAGGATAAGTTAGCAGCCACAGAAGCCACTGTCAGGAGCCAGACGGATAAAATGCGCTACTACCGCGGTCTCCTGGAAGACGCCGGATTAATGCCTCGTACTCCGCAGCGCAGTCGCAGCGACTCCAACCTGTTCTCAGGGCGCGTGCAGACGCCAACTAAACTCCGTCCAATGTCTGCATCTACTGACAACCTCTCCATGGGTACGTCTGCTGGACGCGACATGCCGCCACCATCTCCAAGCCTTTCCCGTGGGATGAGCCTTACATCATTGGAAGAATTTGGACAGACTGATAACACAGATGAATTAAAGGACCAGATAAAGCAGCAGCGTAAACAGTTAGAGAGATACCAGAGAATCATCCGCTCCCTTCAGACCAGAATTCGCCTGGGGAGCGACACGGCTGAGAAGGTGTACCTGGGATCCCCACTGCCAGGTAGTCGTAGGGGGTCCTCAGATGGTATTTCAGGGGGTCCCCCAGGTCTGACACCCAAAACCCCTGGCCTTGATCTGGTGTCTCAAGGGAATCAGGCAGCTTTCCAAAGACTACAAGAACAGGTCAGTGAATCTGTTCTAGTTTTTTGAAAAGGAAAAAAAATCAGTATTTTAATATGAATTTTGTTGTTTAAATTGAGAAAGTAGGTTAGTATTTTATATTTTGTGTTTTTTTCCTATATACAAAATTCTGATTTTTAACCTTTCTGAGACTGTATTTAAATCAGCAAATAAAATTGGAATTGAAAAAAATAAAAGTTAAACCCCAGATAATATTTTCAGTAAAGGTCTGCCTTTTGATAATGGTGAGGCTATGTATTTCACAGGTGGAAGAATTAAAAGATAAATTGAGGCATTCAGAAGATTTAAATGCTACTCTCAGGGAGCAGCTGAGTTCATCTCCGTCACCTGAGGACATCAAAAATACTGTACAGGTGAGGGTTTAGTCTCCTAGAAACTAAAAATTTGAAGAGGAAAGAAATAAAATATAAAAAGGAAGGAGAGGTCACCTAGAAACTAAAAATAAAAAGAGTTTTGCCTTAAAGATGCATACAAAGTCATTTTTTGGTCAAAAAAAACCAACAGCATATAGTTTCAAGTAGTATAACTAAGAGAATTATCAAAAGGCATTGTTTAATTTTACCCGAAAATGATATTTGAACGGACTTTTCTGCTAGCATTCTAAGCTGTATGTCAATGGGGCAGGAAAGTAGGTCACGAAAGTAGGTTAAATTTACAACCAAAAATTTAAAGAAAGGAGCAGTCTAAAGGTCTTTTATGGCTGATCGAGTGATCTCTTTAGTTTCTCCCTTTGCATGTCGAATTTATTTGAGTCATATAAGTATCTAGTAGAAGTGGTTACATGTGTTACTGGGAATCCATGCTCCACCGATGCTCGGTTCGTATGTACCTTTAATAGTTGCAAATTGTTAATTTGTTGGAAGCAGTATTTCAGTTAAGATAATTTGTCATTTATATTTAAAAATAAAGAAATATAAAAAGTTTGTCATATTTATGAGGAATTCCAAACCAAAATTGGTTTAAATTTCTTGCTATCAAAAATTTGAAACCTGACTAAATGTGAAGCAGTGAGTTCAGCAAGTCAGATTTTCTCCTCACCACATTAAGGTTTCCTTTTGCATTTTATAGAGTACTTTATTTCCTGTTCAGATAATGTATATGCTAGTGACTCTAGTTTGGCACACAGCATTCCATGTGTCAGGTTTTCTTTTAATTGCTTTGATACTGGATAGTGTTTAATTGGAGGTACATGTCAGGAAGTTCTGGTTATTAGGACACGGCAAAATATTCAAGGATTTTTAAAATAGAATTGTAGCAGTTCTTTTGTAAGTAGCTTATGGGAAGTAAATAAATGCTTCACTAACCAACTTGTCATCGGCATACTGTTAGACTTCAATTGGGATTTGGAATGAAAATGCTTGAAAAGATGTGATGGGGGCAGTTCTGAATGATATAGATTCAGAAATTGAAATTTTGTTTATGGATTGCTTTAAGGTATTGAGAATGATGAGCTGAGGTTTGCTATCACCCGTGTTGCAATATGCAACTTTAGAAGACATTTTTTCAATGGAGAAGTCTTGATAATAGATGTATTGATTGCTATGTGGTGGCCAGACAGTATGAAATCAAAGAGCTGTGAATTAATGGATTTCTGCTTCCTGCAGATGCCTGACAATTTAGCTGAAACTACACAGAATTGTTATTTAGGAGCCATATAGACTGTCAACCTTGTTGACTACAGAAAAAAAGCAGGCTTTTGTCAGGTTAACTTTGTCTTTGAAAATCTGTTCATGAGTTAGGACAGATCACAAGCTATGTGTAGCAATTTTTTATCTTATATGATATTACATACACATTTTGGCTGCTAAAAGGGAAGCTGGTCTTTTCCAAGAAAATCCCTTTATGGATTTCAAAGAACTGAACATCAACCGTTTTGTTTCCCAGAAGCAGCAGCTTGAGATTATATCTCTGAAGAAGCAGCTCAGTGAGAGCTATAACATGTGTGAAAACTTACGCAAGCGCCTGGAGGAAGTGAATGGGTTCTTGCAAGAGCTCTTACACCAGGATGCTGATGGAGAAGTGGATGTAATTGATGTGACCCCCACAAGAGTCACTGATCTGAAACGTAAACTGTGCGAGTCCATCAACATGGCTACTCTCCTGTCTACAACATTAGAAGGTAAGGGTGATGTGAAGAGTTATATGCTTTACTATTTGAATTCTCTTGTGGGAGTTTTCAGATCATTTTTAAAAAAGCTGTTTGATGATGAAAACAACTGAAAAGAAATAATGTAAAAATTCATCGTATAATTGCATTAGAAATAAGAGGGACTTTATAGGTTTGAAGTGCTGACAGATGAGGTTACATGTGCACATCGTAATACGTTGTTAATACATGTAAAATATTCAATACACAGACAAGTGATGTATGAGTAATACAGCCATAAAACATCAACATTTTCTAGCGCCTTTTGAAGAAGAAGAAGATGAAGAAGAAGTCAATACAACAGTGCCATCTACATATACTGGCACTGTGCCAAGAAGTGCAACTGCGGGGTCTTCCAATGTGGGCACAGGGGGCACCCAGACAGCTGGGTTGTCTGCTGTCAGAGGAAACAGCACACAGACGGACAGGATGACCATGGGCAGTAAATCTACGCAGGCTGGACAGCAGTGGACCAAGATGGACGGTGGTGACAGCAGACAGCTTATTGAGAGTCTAGAACAAGAGAATAACAAGTTAAAGGAACAAGTTCAGGTTGTGGAAACAAGGGAAAGGTGAGTGCAATATGTGTGCAGAGAAGAAACATTTAAGTTGGGGTCATTTTTATGTACAGATTATCGTCTCTGTACATGTAGCCATCACCTGCATCTGCCTATGGTGTCAGCGGCATCGTCCAATGCACTTTCAGGGATTACGTGATAAGTGCAAAAGTATTTGACCTATAGGACTTAGGAATGATAAACATAACTAAAATACAGGCTTTAAAAAATCTGCCTGATTGGATTATTTCTTTAAAGTTATGCCTTTTATTTTCCATTTTCATATCATGGCAATTTCAAGGTGTGACTTTGAACTTCCATGGACCTGAATCTCTTAGCTGGTCACATTATCTGGATTTTCATTATGCTCATACTATATTGTATTATTACAAATTGGTGGTCTTTATTTTGTGTTCATTTTTTACATATTGGCATTTTCAAAGTCCGACAATGAACTTCCATGGGCTTGAAGACCTTTGCTAGTCACATTTTCTGCAAATCTATAATACAATTGGAGATTATGCTTCTAATATTGCTTTTAATTACCAAACCCCTATTTTAGGCACTGTCGCAGTGATGACCATGATAGGAAAAACCATGTTATTTATGATTCTAAAACAAAGATAAAAGGTTCGAATGACTGAAAGACAGCTTGAGTTGGAAACCAGCCTGATTAGAATTTTTTCTGAAAGTTATGTTTTTTTTTTTTTTTTTTTTCAAAGATTATCCTTTTTATTGTGGGGCTGAGAGAGAGAGAGAGAGAGAGAGAGGGAGAGAGAGAGAGAGAGAGAGAGAAAGGAGGAAGTATATTTAAGTTGGGTGAGGAGGGCATGGAGAACAACGACCAAATAAACCTATCGATGGCCAAATTTTATCAGATCTATATCAAGCCAGAAACGATTCTGACAAGTTAAATGTAATGAAGACTAAAAAAGATCAACTTTATTAGACTGTTTTAAAATATGACTTGAATAGGTAGAATAGTTTAACTTATAATTAAGATCAATTTTCTATAACCCTTAATTGATAAAATCCCCCTGATCAGTGCAAGGGGGAGCATATAACTTATAGTAAAAGAGCATTTATATTTGTTAATCTTTAAAAATCATAAGTTAACTTCAGGATTTAAATTTTTAAAAAAAATCTAACAAAAATCTAGAAAAAAAGTCAGTGTAAAGCAATGGCATCCACATACACAGTGCACATATATTGCCCTCCATTAAAGCAAGCAATCAAAATTAAAAGTCACTGAACTTGTTTGTATTAGTATAAATTTTCATGTCAGCAGGGGCAGTTGGTGCCCCCTTTGCTGACCACTTGTTCTTAAAAGATATTTGTATTGGTAAATTAACCCACTAACAATGGCACTTTTGACTGCAGTTAGGCCTGACCGAGGTCCTATCAGAGCTAACTTTTCTAATATGAATGGACCAGTTCTCCTGACCAAGGTCCAAATAAACCCAGATCAGGACTTGGGTTAAAATCACAATTAAACACTGACCACTTGTACTTACCAGTTATTTTTATCAGTAAATTAGTGGTAACCTCCTTGTTTACCATGATTAAAAGAAATCAGCATTATAATATATACACATTTATACTGTCAGATCATTATACACTTTGGAATGTTTTCTTGTAGTTTCTTTCCATCTTTCTCTCCATCCTCTGCCACCACCACCAACTGGCCAAATGGAGTGATGGCTATGCTATGGGAAATTCCAACCCATCAACCTCAGTGTCAATGTATCTGATAAACTGTCCCTGTGGACTCAGTACCACTATCCTATGGTTATTACAGTCAGCAATGAAGATGTGACCATAGCTGTCTATGCACACTCCATCTGGTGACCACAGCTGACCATCACCACTACCTTCTGTGCCATACTGGTACAGCTGATCACCAGTAGATGACAGCACATGTACACAGTTACTGGGCCTATCTGATACCACAATGTTTTCATTCACACTGTTCGCTGTGATGTACATTTGGTCTACACGCATCCTGAGTTTCTTAATTTCTCCAACCTGTCATCATCTCAATAGCATTACTACTTTCTATTTCAGTTTTGTAATATGTAAAATGTGAACTGACTACTTATTGTAAGTACTGGAATGTCTTAACTGTGCCCCACTGCTCTGCCACCACCAGCTGGCCAGTAGGGTTAATGGTTAATGCTGTGGGATACCCCAACCCATCATCCTTAGTGGCAATGTATTTGACAAACTGTCCTATTGAACTCAGTGCCACAATCCTGTGGTTCAAACAGTCAGCAATGAAGATGTGACCATAGCTGTCTGTGCACACTCCACATGGTGTCTGTAGCTGACCTTCACCACTGCCTTCTGTGCCATACTGGTACAGCTGATCACCAGTAGGTGACAGCACATGTACACAGCTACTGTCTGATATCACAATGTTATCATTCACACTGTTCACTGCGATGTACCATGGGCATTTACACATCCTTAGTGGAATAGTGTTTAGGAGCTGTTCACTGTCTGCATTGAAGGTGAAGATGGATTTCCTTCTTCTGTCACAAACCATCACATGACCTTCCCTGTTCAGTGTTACACCATATGGCTCCTCAAGTATACCGTAACCCATGGTTTTTATCTTCTTACCTCTGGGAGGAAACACTTTGACACATTTTTCATATGGTGATGTTATATACAGCTGACCAGGTTGTGACACAGCCACATCAAATGAATCATTAGGTTTTATGGCAAATTTGAATTGCCCTTTATGTGTGTATACGTTTGTTCTCTCATATTTGCTTTCCATATTACTGTTAACAATGAACATATACCTTTTATCTACTGTCAACCCAGTTATGGAATCATTATCATTTTTCAATTTAGCAGTGAAGGAATGTACACATTCTGCCTTCTCTATGAAATCAGGAAGATGTGATGCTGGATTTGGTAGATTTGTTCTCTGTCTAGGAGGTTGTGACCGTACTGTCACCTGTCCTAACATGGCTTCCAGCCCAGCTGTAGATATCTTACCAGGACTATAGCATATCTGGTCTAGTGTATCTGGAGCTAGCAGTGGCATTTTCTCCATCGCTGCCAGTCTCTCTGTCAGATCTTTAGTGTGAATCATGATCTCAGAATCAGAACCATGTGTGATAAGTTCTTGGGCAAAATTGCACGCACTCCCCAAGGAGGCATGGTGAAGTTCAAGGGTGTCCTTCTTGACCTCCTTCTGCTTTTTTCGGATATCACAAGCAGAAAATACTTCTGATATCAGTTCTTGCTCCCTCTGATCAACCAATCTTCGAATGCGTTTAGCCTGTTCTTTGATTTTGTAGATGGAGGCTGTCATGATTTGTGTTTCTTCTGTTTCAGTGGCTGTTTCCTTGGCAACTGCTTCTTTGAACATGTTCAGTTTTGGCAAAGTTTTCACAAGGAAAGTTTTAATTTTTTTCCGATTGATATCTGCAACATTTTCAACTGGCACAATACCATGTCTATAGTGTTCTGTTGATGCACAGTCACCACATACAACGGTATCATCATCTTCACAGTAGTATTTTAACTTGAGATCAGGATGTTTCTCACAATTGATGGTCATTTTTGAAGTGGCTTGTGTCACTGCTGCTACATTGGTCTGTTCACTCTGTGATGCCCCTCTATCTGGTTGTTGCTGGGTTATGATGTCCTTGGCCTTACTAAATACAAAATTCTTTTTCAGCTGAGTAAGGCCACCAACTGGAAACTGGATTTCTTCCCTGCAAACAGGGCATAGAAATGTTCTATTTGGAGTACGAGTTCTCCTAGCATGATTACATATACAACCATAGCAAAATGTATGGTAGCAAGGCAGCACACGGGGGTCCCGATATACTTCCAGACAGATGCTACATGTCAAGATATTATCTGTGAAGGCTGCTGCCAGCGCCTCGGCCATATTGTCACATCACAGCACAAGGCATTCAGTGAATGGTTTAACAGTAAAATGTGAAGTAACTATCTTGAGCACTCTTTATATGGTGGTAGCAGATGATCAGGTGATGGCGACCTTGAAATTATTTGTGGAAACTGTACCATGTCAATAGTGATAACAAGCACTATATTTGATATGGCTGTTAGTACAAGCAGCCACATGTAGCACACGTGGGCACCAATGGTCCTGCCTTCGTGATCATTGACTGAGACAAAGATCATCAGTATCTCTTAATTTAGATCACTTGCATTAACAGTGTGTTACTTTGTCATTATGTTATATTGCTTTCCTCATGAAATTAGATTTTTGTTTTCTATAACCCTGACGTAAATTTACATTTCCTAAACATAAGCAAAAAGCACAGATTTTTTACTGAGTTATGTGACCGCCCCCCCCCCCTTACACTGATAAGTATGATTTTAATTAGTGCTTTTGGGTGATTGCTAGTTATTTAAGTACAACGTATAATTAACTATACAACCCACATTGGAGACTTAATTAAAATTAGTCTAGATCAAGTGAGTCTTGGTCATCTCTCAGACTGCATTATGATATTTAACTAGCTGATACCCATCACATCAATCATTGTAACATGATAAGAGATAAGCATAATAGTAATAAAAATAGGCTTAAAAAATAAAAGTAAAAAACGGGACTGAGTGGGAATCAAACCCACTCCACCAGGTTTGGCAGCCAAGGACGTAACCACTCGGCCATCAAATCCTGCCATCTGATAAAGTGTTATTGACAATATATGATTCCTGTCACACATACCACAGTTTAACTAATATTGCCGAAGGCTAGAAAATGCCTTATGAATACTTCGAACATTAATAATCAGATTCAAACAACGACCACTGACTTCCCACTGCCCTAAGGTATTGCTAACACCTGTCAGTTGTCAACAGTTTGTTTAGTTGTAGTTATGGTATTGTAACAACAATTTATATAAAAGATTAAAATATTTATTACAGAATTAAAAGTCCATGTCCCACATGCCACGTCGCATCCCGACTTCCCGCTTCACACTCATGACCTCTGACAAACATCACGTGGCTTATTACATCACATTACTTCTTTTCTTTTTTTTTTTAATTTGAATATTATGACGGAACAACACATAACATATATACAATAAAAGTAATAAACAATAACACAAAATGCATATAATACTAAATGTCAACTGAGAATAGGTTTCTCTTTGCCAGCTACCACACAAAACTCTGCGTCACAGCTAATTGCTCCAACCTGTAAGTGAGACGTGAATTTTCCCAACACATGAACTGAATTGTTTTCACTGCCATAGGCCTTGATTTTAGTACTTGAAATATGTAACGTTGGTCTTGGTTGTAATTTATTGTACTCAAATTCAGAAATCAAATTTACAGTAGAGCCTGAATCAGCTAGAAAAATTATTTTCCTACCGTTCATCTCTATTTCAAAATGTGGGAGTTGGTCCATGTTCTCGGTCACTGCATGCGCTGCGAAGACATATCCATCCTCATCAGATCCTGTGCATTCATTCTCATTTTCAGTCACATCAGAATTTCCACGTAGACAATTCACATTGTTCTGACGGCGATGAGGCATTTACGGCGTAGCGCTTGTTAGATGTAGCTGAAGATGATGGTTGCTGACCCGATCTGCACATCGATGCGAAATGATGAAGCCGTTTACAAGAGAAACATTCCTTGTTGAAGGCCGGACACTTCGACCGTCCACCCACATGTGGCCATTCTCCTCCACAATTACGGCATTGTGAAAATTCTTGACTACCTGTCGAACTCCTGACTTGCACCCTGTTAACCGCAGTTCATCCATGCGCTGTGTATGTGAAGTGACAAGTTGTTCTGTACGCGCATACTGCAAAAGTTGTGATAATGTCATGGACGGGTTACTTAAGCCTTTCTGTCGGACTTTCTGAGATTTACATCCCATAATCAATTGTGATTTTATCTCTGATTCCAAGTCATGAAAACTGCACAGTTTACCAATATCTTGAAGCTCTCTATAAAATTTGTCAATGTCCTCTCCTTTCTGCGTAGCGTGTCGAAATGAAAATCTATTCAATTCAACATTGATGGAAGGTGAAAAATAGTCAGTGATAGCATCAACACATTTCGTAAACTCGTCTTCTCCTTCTCCGGGGGTTAGTTGAAATGTGCTGAAAGATTCGACGATGTCATTTAACTCGTCGCCGGCGAAAGATAGCATGAGTGCCTTCTTCTTTTTCGGACTTGTTATACCATAACCAACAAATACGTTGTTTTTCAATCTGTTTATCCATTTTCTCCATCTAACGGCAACGCCTTCTGACTTACAGTCAAATTCATAATAAGTAGGTATCTGTATAGATGGGCTCGCCATTGTGACTGTTCAACGAGTTACACTGCGCTCATTCAATTTCGCTACAGTCAATGTTTATATATATTCTTACTTGTTACTTTCCTCCCTTGTGAGACTGTTCCATCCTTGTCGCCAGATATGGTATTGTTACAACAATTTATATAAAAGATTAAAATATTTATTACAGAATTAAAAGTCCATGTCTCACATGCCACATCGCATCCCGACTTCCCGCTTCACACTCATGACCTCTGACATACATCACGTGGCTTATTACATCATTACATCACAGTAGTTTATGAGAAAAATATGAAAAGGAGAATTCGGCTGATCTGCTATTACTATATAGATTTGTCTGCATGGTTTCTGAACCTACTGACACAGATTTGATAAAGCTTGTGCATTGTTTATTATCTCCTCATGTGTTTGTCAGGTGATAAGTCCAGTTTATTTGGTCCAGTTTCTCTCCACCTTGACCCTTTCTCACACACCTTATAACTACCATCTCTCCCTATCTCTCTCTCTCTCTCTGACACAATTTAACTAATGAATTTTAAAGTCATAATAACTCTTCGTTTTGGCCAAAAATTGGATTTTCCTGGAAAAAACGGCAATTTTCCCGTACTTACCAATGGCCAACGACCCCATTCCTGCATTCAAAGTTAATCCAGGGTTTTTTTCCTAAACGTACGGATTTTTTGTNCATATTTTTGAAAATTCTTGTTTATTGCATAGAGCTTGTCAAGGACAAGACTGGTTGTGGTGTCCCTTTTTTTTGGGGGGTGGGGGTGGGGGTGGTTCCATTCGAATGCGCTGTACTGAACGTACTAAATGGTAGAAAGCTTTCACTCACTATCGTTCACTTACGCTCACTTACACAAGTAACCTTTCACTCTCACGATCGATCCCAGATTCGTATGTCTAAAACTTCACGTAAGTGTGTGCGCCAGAAACCAAGTCAACCACAAGGATAAATCAACGTAACGCTGCTTTATTAAACAACCGACCTCGATTTGTAACAAGAACGATCTTTTTATACCAGTTTTCTTTATCATGATGATCTTAGGTGGATTTTCTGCTGCAGGACTAGTGTCCAATCAGCGCCCTAAGTTAATGAAGTCTATTTACGTAATTAGGTCATCGGGAGCGTCTCTTGATCCACGTGCGCTCCCGACATATTCCTTCATTTTTTTCCGAAAAAAAAAATATGATAAGATTTTTTTTTTTTTTTTTTTTTTTTTAATTAACGTGATATTTACAAAATATTATATATAATTTTCGATACTCTTAAATATATTAATCTTAAATTAAAACAGTAAAACTTCTTATTTAAAAGTCTATATTCATTCCGGCGCTGGCTTCGTGGATTCTTCCTTCTTCTTGTTGCATGGGTCCTGCAGGGTCTGCTAATGAGGGCCCAGGATGATCCGCAGATCTTTGAGGGATTATTTAGTTCCCTCAGGGCGTCCTGATGCCCTTATCCTTGCTGGGCAAGCCCAACAAGGTTTTGCCGGTTTAGTCGCCGACGGCTCGACCATGGACAGGTAGTACCGTTTTTACATGGTTAACGGTAGCAGATAACTGACCTGACTGTGCGTAATCAAAACATAGAAAACGCACGAAAACGTTTTTAAAAAGGCCCTCTCCGCTGGTCTCTCTCCTAGGTTCGAAGTGTCGAAGTCCCTTCCCAGGATCGTAGTGTCGAAGTCCCTTCCCAGGCTCGTAGTGTCGAAGTCCCTTCCCAGGATCGTAGTGTCGAAGATATGTTCCCATGGACAGTGTCGGAGCCTCTTCTCGGATCGTAGTGTCGGAGATCTGCACACTGAAAGAGACCCCATTACCCAAAGTCCATGCCCCAGTGATAGATGTGCAAAAGAAAATCACCTGCACCCGAAGACCATGCACCAGTTGGAGAAAGAAGACACCACCACTTATAATATTGCAATAAATCCCATCATATACCGACACACATAAAATTCAAAACAGGTTAATTTACCCATGCGCATACATATAATTAAAATCTGATATGGTTAAACTTCCAATGGGATTTCTACCTCTCCTATATATATAAAAAAAACTGATCATTAGTTAAAAAAAACATAGATATACATTAACCTTTGCAATGCACAAGATAAAATCCGCACTAACGCCTCTTAAAACAAGGAACAAACCTATCATCCAACTGACCCGCATGTCTTGCTAGATCGAATCGGATAGGATAGTTTGAAACTTGCGGGACGTTATACATAATCTACTGAAGAGAACAATATTTATGTGACATATATATCCGTGTGTGGGTTTTAATCTTACTACTAAGTCTCTGCTTGGATCGCATCCACACAGGTGATGTGCAAGCTGGGGAATTCGCAGTCTAATCCTGAAATTTGAAATCTTTATCATATAGTGAACGCAGAGGCTCAATCGGGTCCTGCGTTCTGACAATTAACGGCGTAACTGTATCTTGCTGAATATTATACGAAACAGAAGGTCTTCCCCCTGGAATCCTGTCTTCTGCATCTTGATTGCGCCTTTTCTTTTTCTGTAAAACGAATTTTCGACACATTATCATTCCATAATTTTTTAGACAAAAGATTCCTATGCCTAACACTAATAAAAACAAAGCTAAAGTACCCAGGTAGCCCCATACGTTTTGCTTATCCGGTATAAAATTTTCCCAATGATTTTCATTTTCCCATTTAATTTGTTTTAAAGGCACAATCGACTGTAATGCTAAATCCTTTTGGTCAAATTTCTTTAATAACTTTAAGGCGTCCCCTTCCCGAATAGTCTCTGTTAAATTAAGTCCCTAACTGAAATTAAGCTGCACCGAATGAATTGTAATTTTCCCAATTTGGTGGATAATTCCCGGTAGAATATAATTGTCGCCTTGGATTTCACAACCATTATCTACATTAATCAAATATGTCCCTGCTTGAATTTTAACCGATTTCTCCGCCGAATTGTCGCACCTAGTATATAAAGTTTCTCCCCAGCTCACTATCACATATTGTCCTGGACTCAATTCCCTGGCATACCCTTTATCTAAGCTCTTACTTATCAGCACTTTGCAAGCCTCCCTGTGTTTTTCGTCTCCCGTGACTATTGCTCTTTCACATTTACTACTCGACTTATATAAAGGCCCTGACGTACAGACTACGGTAAAGTCTTGAAAATTTCGTCGTTCTTGAAAATTTCGTCGGCAGACGATTTTCCGCCGACGTAATTTTTTTCCCTTTGAAAACTTCGTCGACCTTGAAAATGAGGTACTCGATAATTTTTGAAAATTTCGTCACCAAATATGGCCGCGTTGTCCAGCTCAAACATGAAAGGTAATGCGTCAGTTGATTCAAGACAATGATACGATCAGGATATCATTGCCGATAACACTCTCAATGGGAGATAGGAACAATAGTGCGCCCCTGCGAGCGGTTACTCACAATATAGATGGTTTAGATGTGAATTCCCGTTCTCAATTGCGGGAACGTCGGCCTTTTGTCTTTAGTTGCATTACTATTACCTGGCTTAAGGTGCGTTATCAAGCCGGCAAATAGAAGTCACAGGCCGCGGCTTTGTCATCTGTAACGCCGTTATTGTTATCGGCGGCTGTCCTAAATGAGGCAGACACAATGAAAAAATCAAGATATTATCTCGAAGTGAAATGTACCCATCACTTCTATTCATGTCCATGTTCAATTTAGGACCATTTAACGATTACCTGGTTCGTACATGGAGATCCTTCGCAATGCGAATGGGACGAGATGGCAATTTTCATATCTTCAGCGGAGAATCGTTCGCATAATATCGTCAACAGATCGTTCGCGAACCAAACGAGACGAGAAGATAATTTTCATATTTGTAGCGGACTCCGTTGGCATAAGATCATCAGCGGGAGATCGTTTGCGATTCGAGAGAGACGAAAAGGCAATCTTCATATCTTCAGCGGGAGATCGTTCGCGATGTAAGCGAGAATAAAATGCACTTTTCATATTTGTTCAAGGGAACTTCGTTCGTGGAAGATCGTCAGCAGGAGATCATTATTTTAACCCCCCCCCTCCCCCTTTGAACTTTATAAATAATATATATTTTTCATTTTATCTTTAATCCCCCTTCCCCCGCTCACAGCATATCTTCAGCGGAGAATCGTTCGCGTAATATCGTCAAGACTTTGTTCGCGTAAGATCGTCAGAGGGAGATCGTTCGCGATCCGAGCGAGACGAAAAGGCAATTTTCATATCATCAATGGGAGATCGTTCGCGATGTAAGCAAGAATGAAATGCAAACAGGGCATAGAAATGTTCTATTTGGAGTATGAGTTCTCCTAGCATGATTACATATACAACCATAGCAAAATGTATGGTAGCAAGGCAGCACACGGGGGTCCCGATATACTTCCAGACAGATGCTACATGTCAAGAGATAATCTGTGAAGGCTGTTGCCAGTGCCTCGGCCATATTGTCACATCACAGCACAAGGCATTCAGTGAATAGTTTAACAGTAAAATGTAAAGTATCTATCTTGAGCACTCTATATATGGTGAAAGTAGATGATCAAGTGATGGGGACCTTGAAATTATTTGTGGAAACTGTACCATGTCAATAATGATAACATATGCACTATATTTGATTTAGTTGTTAGTACAAGCGGCATGCAGCACGCGGGGGCCTCTACTGGTCCTGCCTATGTGATCAATGACTGAGACAAGTGTCTCTTAATTTTGATTACTTGCACTAACACTGACTGTGTGCCATTATGTTATACTTACACTTCGAATGTGGATATTTTTTATTTCCTCAGGAAATTAGATTTTTGTTTTCTATAACCCTGAAGTAAATTTACATTTTTGAAACATAAGCAAAAAGCTCAGATTTATGTGATCCCCCCTTACACTGATCAATTTGATATTTATTAGTGTTTTACATGTCCTACTTTTGACTATGAACTGTTTGCAACTTTTCTATCCCTTGTATCTCCAAAACTGGAGAACTTGAATAGGAAGTCATATACCGGTATTCAAACTGTGACCTTGAAATTGATCTTTGACCTACTTTTCATCATGAACTGAACTATGCAACTTTTCGGTCTGTCGTGTCTCCAAAACTGGCAGAGATACGCCCATAGTAACTGTTGAACTTGAATAGGAAGTCATATACTGGCATTCTAACTGTGACCTTGAAATTGACCTATGACCCTCTTTTTACCAGAACTGAACTTTGCAACTTTTCCGTCCTTTGTATCACCAAAAATGTTAGAGATATGCCCATAGTTACTTGAATGACTAATTTCCTTTGCACATACGTCATATTATTGCCAATATCATTATTGCAACTGAAGTAAAAAATCAATTACTTAAATTTCTTTTACCTGAGCACCCATAAACACTTTCATTTTCAATTTAATGACACTGGTGAGTACTTCAAAACCTTCCCAGCAATTTATTTTAAAGCCTCTGTTTAGATTTTATTGTTAATAAGACAAAATGATGCCTGATCAGTGTAAGGTGGAAGATGAAAGGGAACTGTTCTGCCCATCTGAATGCCACACTTAATATTTGTCTAGACCCAGTTAGCTTCTGGCTTTTCTTAGACTACATTATGACATTTTTAAATATCTTATGCCGTTGAACGTTGAATGCTCTTATGTTTGACTTATACCAGTGAGTATTGTGTTCTTTGAACATTCATAAAGCACTCCGCCATGAAGGCGTAACAGTTAAAATCTGTCTACATGGTTATAGCCCCTTCTTGATACAGATCTGATAAAAATTGCAATGAAGAATTGGGTTATTAACTTTATAGTATTTTATCTGTTGATATGTTCTCATATCGATGACAATACCTTGTCCTTGTTTGCATTCACTTCACTTGTACTAGAACCTCAAAAATCCTTTCAAATCATTATAAGTTGCCAAAATCATTACCTTTTAATGAATCAGAATGCATTGTTTTTGAAAGCATGAGTAGGAAAAAAAGGTTGTATTAAGGTTCAGTGTCTGGAATTTGACTGCCATACAGTCTTACACCAAAGAACTATTGATTGCACATTTCAAAAGGATACTTCTGTGAGATAACCTAGCTTTTCTAGTCTACGCCTTATTTGCTTGAAACCTCTGAATATGTTGTTCTGTGTTTGCACTTAATTGAAACAAAATAGTGTTCATCAATTATAATCAAGAACTGCACAAATTAGACTTAAAGAGATTATTGTACGAGGGATAAGTTAATTGATTGAAGGGAAGTTAAAGGCAGAGATTTCCGAGTTTTTAATTAAAAAGTGTTGCCACACACTGAGAGATCAGATACAAACAGTGCTGTTGCCAAGGTACTTATAGATTGTGTAAGAAGAGATTGTAGTGCCTCGTTTTCAGTTGCATTGACACAGGTATGTTTTTATGTGGAGACTTGGCTCAAAGTCTCTCATTTCGCAGGTTTTTAATGTGTTTGCTGTGACATTAAGTGATAAATTGGATGCAAGATACAGCAAGTAGAAGGTTAGGTATAAAGTTTTGTAGAAACTCCACCAGATGACTTGTGTACAGGTTTACAGAACACCTTTCTTGTCGAAAAAATTCCTGTGGAGTTGGTTCAGTAGCAGTACTTAACAATTTGTTCCTTGGAATCTACTTGCATTCATTTAGTGGTAAAAACATTTGACGCAGATAAGGTTTCACAGTGACTGAAATTCTCTTATACTAATAATACAGGCTTTTCTCTGATTACTATGGTAACAATCATATAATACTCCTTAAACAGTATGTCCATGAATCAGTTTCATGATCTGTACTTGGAATAATATTAATGCATCCTGCATCTGTATGTCTAAGTTTAAAATAGACCACTGTTATTTAATATGGATTTATTCATTGAACTCAGAACTGTGAGATGGAGCCATACATGATGTGACATTAAAACTTATGATTATTGTAGAATTTAGACATGCTGTGGAGAGGAATTATCCACGTTATTTACTGCATGCATGGATTAGAGAAATAGAAGTCAGCCTTTGGAAGTGGTATAACAACAATACAGAATCTGCTTCAGTGTGATTGCCTTGTTTGCCAAATCATTGGAAACTTGATCCAAATCAATATTTCAAGTAAAAAACATGATGGTAGATTCTTTGTTATTTTGATGAAAATTATATGCATTTACATAAACCTTATTATTATTAAACACTACTGGATATTTCTGATTGTGATCTCCAGAGAGTTGAAAGCAGAAGTCCAGCGTCTCCAGTCAGAGCTACAGAAGAGAGGACAGCAGTTGGAGCAACTGAAACTTCTGCTGCAGAAGAACCAGGAACAGGCACAGCAGACTGGCCAGGAACTACACAGGTGAGAGAGAACGTTGAGGACGTTGATTTGATTGAAGTTTGTGTGCTGGCTTTAAGATTTGTTTTGAAGTCAGGCCATTTAATTGGAAGAATGATTTGCTTTGAAAGTGGACTGTAAGCTGTAAATGTTTGTTTGAAGCTGGGCATATTTCATTGGTAACAATATGATATTTCTTTGGAAGATTTTTAGTGCTATGGTATGGAAATTGATGGGAGTTTGAAGAATGTGCTTTTTTAACTAAATCATTCTTTTATCATTTTTTTCATAAGACTTGGCTGTGAAGTTGAAGAGAAAAACAAAAAGATAGCCAAGCTCCAGAAGATTATTGATCAACTGCAAAAGAGACCAACTGACTCTAATATACCCACGGAGGAGAGAGAGATTTGGGGACCAGAAGGGCTTGACCAATACGACCTTGATCAGATGGATCGGTCATCACCCAGCACTCACGCTTTCCCAGCCACAAGACAAGGAAACTTGGACCGCAGAGGTCAAGGTGACTTGGACGACCTTGATGCTAGGTCATCTGGTGGAAGTAGGAGGAGTGCAGATCGCCATGATGGTCAGAGGTCATTAAGAGGTCAACAAGGGTCCGACAGAGGCCAAGACTGGTCAAGCTTTTCCAGCAGCTCTGGAACAGCACACAATAGAAAAGATGTCAAGTCTAAGCAATACAGAAAGTCTAGGAAAGTTGGAGGTGGGGGAGCCAGGGAAGTGGGGCCATCTGTTTCTAGTGACTCTGGGGATGAGCAGCTTAGAGGCAGTGTGAAATACAGGCCAGGTGATGTTGGAGACTCTTTAGATATTGAACGGTTAAGGCACCGTAGTGCCAGTGGCTCACATCGTGAGCCGCGTCTAACTGGCAGAACTGTAGAGGGCAGCACAGTAGTGGAAGAAAGTGGCTTGTCGTCAAGTAGCCTCCATAGCTCACGCGTAAGTTCGCTACGTCAGCCTTCTGGAGACAGAACAGCTGCCAGTGCAGACAGTTTCTCCAACAGGGGGCAGCATGACTTGCAAGATAGGACCGGCAGGCCTGGACACCCATACGGTGATTCCTCATATGCTCACAATATATTTGGATCACGCGAAGATGTGATTGTTGATCTCAGGGATACAGGACATGATGTCGATGGTGACCTCGCTGGTTTGGAGTTCAGAGTGACCAATGGGCAGCTTGACCAGGAACTCTTTGGCCCAGGTCACAGGCGTCTGGTTGACCCTGACCTGCCAACTGACCATTTACAGAGTCAATCTCGTATCTTTGAAGGCGAGGGGAGAGATAACAGAGAGAGGGATAGAAGGACTGGGTCTTCTAGGCCATCTAATAGCTCATCATCTCACCACAGTCAAAGGGATGGCAGGTCGCCAAGTTCTTCTCACAGGTCAGGTCAAAGGTCATCTCAAGGTCATAGGGGCCAGAGGGCATTTGAAGGTCACTCGTACACAAGCACAGCACCTCATGACAGCGAGAAGGACAAGTTGATAGTGAACCTGCAGCAGAAGTTGAAAACTGTGGAAGAGTTGAACGAGACGCTCAAGGATGAAATGAAGCTGTTTGAGAACATAGGCACCTCTATAGGAATCCAGAGTTCACCAGGGATGTCTACACACAGCAGCCAGACCAGGAGAGACCCTCACAGCACCCTACAAGAACACCTGAATGAGATCAGAGAGCTGAGGAAACGCCTGGAGGAGTCCATCCGCAACAATGACCTCCTGCGTGAAAAGTTGGAGAGACGTCTGGAGGACATAAGGAGAGAAGGCGGAGGTAAGGTTTGACACTCTAGGTTTGTTGTGAATTATTGTCTTTAGAGCCTAAACATGATTTTTGAACTAAGAGGAATAATGTTTTAAGCCTTCATTTAGAGGTCTTGGTCACTCTTTGATAAAGGGTTAACTAGTCTCTTTAGACATGAAATCCTTTTTATCATCATGTAAGACAAAATTCAAACCCTATCGCTCTTCGAAGGTTTTTTGTTTCAAGTTTAGTAGCTCTTGAAAACAGCTTGCATACACTCCTCCTAGTGTCTTTTGAAAAACAAATAAATACCATTATTTTTATTTTATTATTTTTTTTACATGAAATAGACTAATGGAGGTAAAATAAAAGCATTGTCTTATTATTTTGACCTTGATATTACACACATTTTCAACTTCTTTACTATCTTCTGAAATGAGTTATTTAGTGTATGATCTCAACTGTAGGTGGCACCACCAATGTTTACCTGCAGCAGACAGAGACAGAGGTACATGAGCTGCGGCAGACAGTGATCGAGAAAGAGGAGTGGGTGCGGAAATTGGAGAAAGAAATGAAGGAGCTACAGAACCGATGCAAGGCTCTGGAGAAAAATAATGTTGAATTAAAACAGGTGAGAATTGGATGTAAGGCATGTATGTATACTGGAAACAAGTTTGATTTATTTTGTATTTTTTAAGTGATTTATTTTGACAGATGACAAATGTTGGAAAAATTGCTTAATCTTGTCATGAGGCACACATGTAATATGTTGCTTGTTGATCTTCACTGGGACAAACTGTATTGGTTGCTGCAATACAACAATTCCTCAACTTTGCCACACTGCAACCCATTTGTGTGGTATATCTGATGTATATACACCTATGGCAACTTTCAAAAACCATTGTCAGCTTGTGATTTTCTTAATGATTTTAATGTTTTTTTCTTGATTTACCTAATAGATGTTCTTGCAATGAAAATTTAGCAAAGGCACTCCGTTTTGAAAAGTCCTTATCCCAGGCAGGCTGTATTAAGCAAGTCTTCATAAGGCAAGCAAACAGCTATACAAACCACATGCCAGGACTGTTGTCAGTATTACATTATGGTGTTAGGTATGACTGTGTCTATATCTATGACATATGTCAATCACTGTGTCCATTTCCAGGTGAACTCTGACCTTGACCAGGCCAATAAACAGCTAGAGAAGACATGCCAGGAGTTACAGCTGGTCAACACTGACCTGCAGAAGAAAAATGACCAGGTCAACAAGCAGCTGACCGACTCTAGGCAAGAAAATAAGAGGTAGGGTAGATATTTACGGACTTAGATTTGTTTCGAATTAAATGCTCTAGATAAAGTGCCAAAAACCTTTTAAACCTACTGGCCCTTTAGGTTGTGTGGTTCAAAGAATTGGGAGTAGTGGTTGATAATTAGGAAAATTTAACTGGACTGATCTCAGTTTGAGTGGCATTCAACATTGGGCATTTTGTTAATGTAGACTTTACTGTGATTGAATTTAGGGGCAGTTTGCTAGAAATAGGTTAAGATGCATGTCAAATGTTGACTATTCCAGGATGATCAATGATCTGAACAGGGCCCAGCAGTCCGTGACATACCTAGAGGAGCAGGTGCAAGAGAGCCAAGGTCTAAACAAGACATTGAAGATGGAACTTAATGTGTTTGAGAAGATGAGGGAAGAGACCAGGGAGAAAGGTGCTCTTTGTTTGGTTTTTATATAATTTTGTTATAAATGGAGAAGTTATTAGATAGGATTGACATTTTTCCAATTTTTGGAAAAAACATTTATAACATATTTAAAAAACAAGAAACAAGTCATGGCATAGGGCATAATTTACTCACCACAGAAAACATTCACTCTTATTCCATTGCTTTATCATAAAAACAACAAAATAATCATAATATAATTCATCTGTTTGTTTGGTCCAGGCACTTGTGCCGATTTCAAACTGCGGGATATCTCTGGAGCAGACATGACGGACCTGTTTGAAGAAATCCGCCACCTGCGTGTCCAGCTGGAGAGGTCTATCGAGGCCAATAACTCACTGCGTCAGATGCTGGAGCTGTCACGTGACATGGGGCAGCAGGGCACCACCTCCTCTGTTATCAATATTCACCATATGCACACTAGGAATACTACCAATACAAAGTCCACAGGTAGAGCTTACTGCATAAGTCCCTTCACATGATTAAATATGTTCAGATACATTTTGGTTTTATTATAAATGTATTGTATTTTTGCCAGAGTTGACCATGCTGAATTGAAGTTTTTCTTCTGCATTTTGTAATGGCTGCATTCACAACAAAAGTTGATCTTAGGACAAACAGATTGTCAGATAAATTATGGCTGTCCCACTTTAATGTTTGCTGGGAATCTATTCAGTGTCTTTTAGGAGATTATATGGTAGGTCAGCCATATTTGATCTGCTAATCTGTTAGTTCATGGATTAACCTGTCTTGAATGTGACCAATCGAAGTTCCCCAAGTACTGTTGGAGGGATTTTTTAAAAAGTGTGTGTTATTACAGTATATTTAAGTGGCAAACTTGCTTCTGTGTGACTTTCTTGTTTTGCATTACTAGAGAACAGAGAAGAGATCCTCCAGCGTGAAACAAGTCACCCTACTGGTGACCAAGGCAACAGGTATTACTCCAGAGATCTGTATGGTGAAGATGCCCAAAGACGGACAGAGGAGAAGATCCACCCAGAAGTGAGCCACCGTACTGGTGACCTTGGCAACAGGTACCACACTTATGACCTTGACTTTGGTGGTGGTGGTGGTGGTCGTGACCTTGATGGTGACCTTCCCCTTGGTGGTGGACGTGACCTAGGTGGTGACCTTGCTTTTCCTAGTTATACATTCCAAACTGGAGATCACGGCAATAGGTTGTATTCCAGGGAGCTGGACAGAGACAGTGACCCAAGCAGTCACCATAGCAGTCGCCCTGGCAGTCATCCCAGCAGTCATTCTGGGAGTCACCACAGCAGTCACCATAACGAGATCAATGGCCATATTGGGCAAAGTGGTCAGTCTAAGGATGACCATCACCTGGGACCAAGGTTATATGGAAGGGAAGATGCTTTGGAAAACTTGAGGTTTGTTGTTAACTGTATTTAACTGATGTCTGGCTTATTATTTTTTAATAGGGATTCAAAAATAAGTTTCAGTATATTTCTGGACTGCTGAAATGGTCCATGATGCTGTATCATTGGGAACATATTCAAGTTCACAGTCTTATACAAAGATGTCATACTCTGAAAGCACGAGGCACCAGGTTGACATTCAGATGCTCCACATATATATCAGTCTACCTGAAGGTGGCTTATTTTACAAAATACCCTCTTTAAGAATTTATTTATCCTCCCAGGGACAGAGACTTGTCGTCCAGGGAGAAGGCACGGACAGCAGACTTGAGTGACCAGCCATGGTCTGGTGGAGAGGATGACCACATAGAGGACCTGATCACCCCGTCAGAGGGCAGCTGGACAGGGGACAGGGGCAGACAGGTGCCCCTAACCATGAATGGACTGGGAGGTAGGGACCTTGTTAGGGAAACAGGTGCTCAGTTAGGAATTGTGAATAAGTAGTTTTTGTTGTTTTTTTTTAACCATTGCCATTGTGTGTAAATTTTTGCAGTTTGAATTTATTTTCTTTATTTCTATATATCAGATATAAGATACAGATTAAATCATTACTTAGTGCAGGAGTATATGTTATTTACAGGATCTCAAACACATTGTAAGCCAAATAATATATCAGTTATAGGTGGAGTTTTTTTTCATCAATTTGATCTATGGCTTTATTGCTCCATCACTTTAACATTGAAAAATAAAATCTTTAAGGCCCAGTCAGAAAGGAGGAGGAGGAGAGAATGTCCAGACATACCAGTGACATCCTGGGTGACCAAGGCAACAGATATTATTCCAGGAGTCTGGACAGGCTTAATGGTGAGATTTGACTGAACAATAACATTGTCAGGTCAACTTGTCTTATTATGTATCCACTAGGTGATAGAAACGGCCCTCTTGTATTTTTCTGCCCATAATTGCATGTGCCCTTTCTGTGAATAGCATGACTTTTTGGTTTTGCGTTTGGCTTTAAGGGAATGTATGTAACATACTTGTTTTTGGGAGTAAACTTATATTTATTGTAGACAGCATGTGTTGATAGCCTTCATTCATGTTACATTCCTTAATGTAATGGATTGATACTCCTTCTCAAAAACTGCTTTTGACATGATTTGGAAATGCCAGAAATTACTGTTCATTTGGTGTAAGTCTGTATCTACCATCTTCTATAGCTATAGATTATTAGAAAAAGAAGAGTGCTGGACTAATGCTAGTATTTGACCTTTTTGCCATTGGTTTTAAAATTATTCACTTTGGCAAAAAAAAAAAAAAAAAGGAAAAATAGGTTTTGGCCAGTTTATCATTCAACTGCAATATCTCTGTTATCGTGTACCCCTGTGTGGCGTATTAGTCTTGTGTTGCATGGTTTGCATGCTCTGTGTTGCAGAGATAGGCCATGGCTCAAGTAAACCCAGGGAAAGTAGAGGACTAAGAAATCAGCAACGCTACTCACGCAGTTTAAATAGGCTAGATAGACTTAAAGGTATACTCTAATCCCAGGGACACATTTTCCCAAAAACTGGTCGTAAATCTTAGACCAAATATGTTGAACAGTTTGATACATGGTTAAATCTGTAGTAGTCCACTTAAGTTCAATACTGGACCTGTTTTATAACCAAAGAGACATGGCTAATATTTAAGACTTACCTTATTATCTTGAATTGACATTTTGGATCTAAAAGTTAAGACCAATTTTGGGGCTTTGGCTAAGCTTGAGATGTGTAATCCTGGGATCATTGTATTGGCTTCTTTACCTGGTGTATTTTCTTCTTTCATAGACAGTCATTATCTTTATCTGTAACTGAAATTCTTAAGACCCTAAATACCAAAATCCTCTACCTTACAGTCATTAATTGATTTTTTGAAGGTTAAAAAAAAAAGTTTGGGAAAGTGTATGGTTATTATTCAGTCTGAAGTCAGAAATATTAAATGATGGCTGTATGAGGTTTTTTGGTGTTTAACTGATTATATCAGTGGCCAATTTCATTTGCAAAAGGAAAAAAAGCATAATTATACTAATAATGGGAGTAGAAGACAAGCATACTGTATGAATACATGATTAACAGCAAAAATTCAGTTTTAATTGTCATCTGTGCATAAACGTGGTCATATGTTGACTCATATGAAATATACACATATTCAGATACACACGGCACTGGTGACCCTCTGAGAACGTCCGACCTGAGTGACCCTCCTGGTCAGTCTTGGCGTAACACTGACCGTCGGCACAGGTCTGCCCCCTATGGTCACACTACTGGCTACCGAGATGACCGCCAGATGGGGAGGTCACATCATTATGGCACAGAAACCAACAAGATCTACCATGTTTATGACCCTAAAGGTTCACCAGGTAAACTTCTACTTGTGTGATGTATGTGTGTTTGGTAGGTGTTAGGATGAGTCGATTCCTGCAGGTGTTCAGACAGACTGGCCATCTTAATGATGCTCACTGATTTTGTCATGTGGAGGTTTGGTTACTGTGCTGATATAGATTTTTGAAAGATATATTAATTTGATATTTGTATTTAATTATTTTTACATATTTCTCCTTCTTTTTCTTCTTTTTTATTTATTTATAATTATTATTTTATTTTATTTATTTATTTATTTATTTATTTTTTTGCAAAATATATTTTGTCTTTCCAAATGCCAGTTTGATAATAATCTCAATTTTTTATCCATTTAGGTACGTCCCCAATCCGTGTGGACTCAGACCTACGCATGCTGTACGCAATAGGAAAGATAGACGACTTTGAGCTCCTGCGGAAGGAGATTCACGAGAGTCAGGTGGTGCTAAGCGGTATGGTGGCCAGGATAAGAGAGAGACTACGGACATTTAGAGGAGCCTCTCCCTCACAGGTGGGTGCTCTTTCTCTCTCTCTCTCTCTCTCTCTCTCTCTCTCTCTCTCTCTCTCCTGAAAACCTGCTCAATACTTATTAAATTTTTTGTGTGTGGACATGCAAAGAGAACAGGAGACATCTCCTTACATGACACAGGCAAATAGTCTCCTCAAAACTTAAACTGTTCTTTAGAAAGTCAACAGAATAGAAAGTCTTTGCTAAGTGCAGTCCCACATTTGCCTGGTTTCTTTTCTTTCAGAGTGTGGAATACAGCACTCTACAGGCCCTGAGTGCGTCAGCAGAGAACCTGCGTGTATGTCTAGGACAGGAGGCTCACCTCATCACGCTGTTCTGGATATCACAGCTGCCAGAGACGGACGCTGATGGCTTCTTTGTGGACGTCAGACTCATGAAAGAGGTACTGTTGTAATTAAAAAGTATTTTGAAATTATATTTTTAGTCTAGAAATGCTGCTGAGTTATTTTTCACAGTACTAAAATAGTGTTTTTACAAATGTATATGTTGTGATTTGAGGAGGTCTGCATTTGTTATAAAACCATGCATTTTTTCCACTCAAATTTTAATACGTTTTGAAAATGGGCATCGATAAGTTGCCTTTGGAAAATAGTTTTAATTGCAGTGAATCTCATAAAGTGATGAAAATTATTGTTTACAGTATTAAGGTATCCTAATGGTAATTTTTGTGTTAAACTTTATTTCCTCAAGGAAAAAAAAAACATCTTTCTTTAATCATGAATCCCCTATTGTTCCAGGTTGGTCTGTTGCGGGAGGAGGTGGAGGTCTACAAGAGTAAATATTTCACTGCCAGTGACACTCTCAGGATGTACCAGGAGAGACTGGAGGTGAGGACATCCATAGTTTAGATTCATCTCAGCTTATAATATCACAGCGTCCATTACAGAGACCACATCCATCTGAAAAAGTTGACTAGACTTTATAATTGTTAAAATGAAGTGTCATTTATATACCAGAAGGAAGACTTTTTGGTGCAAAAGCAGTGATTCAGTTATGTAACACCAAGTTTTAACCTTAAATAAAATTTCGTGGTTTTTTTTCTATAGAAAAGTAACAGACAGAAGGAAAGTATGGCAGCCTCCATTGCAAGAGAAGGTAAACTTAGGATTGCTTGGAACAAATGTTTAGACAAATGTATATTGTGTTTCATGTGAATGTAGTATGTTGATTTTGGACAGGAGCTTTATCTTTTGTGCCTTCCAATATCTCATCTTATTTAAAGTAAAAATAAAGTACTCATTGACAAAGAAAAAGGTTTTATGCAAGCTGTTTTTGTTCGGTACTTAAATAGAAAGTTACAGTAATGAGACTACTCAGTTTAGTGTTTATAATGTTTATTATATATGCTGTATATTATGTCCCATTCTTTAAAATTTTCCTTGTATTTTTTTGTCTCCAGTCAGCAGAACCAAGAAAGTCCTGACAAAATCAAAACAAAACTTCATGTCCAGATACGAGAGGTCAGCTGCCACATAGCAGAACTTTATTCATAGAAGACACGGCAGAAATATCATGAGTATATGAACTGCGCTATACAGGATGGCATATATTGTGTGTATATGACAATGGGTATATGCACTGAATGGGGTGCAGAGAATGTATGACACTTTGCTAAACATATATGCATTTGTTAAACACATGGATGCATGCAGACAAGGCCTGCAGTGTTCACTTGAGGATTAGGGTAATAGAACGAGGTAAACAACCTGTAGTGAAGATTATTCCACTGCCAGAGATGAGGAAACCGAGCACTATATTGATAGCACACTTGACTCTCATGTAATACTGTATGTGGCCCAAAACACTGCCAAGTAAGGACGTTTGGAAAAAGATTTTTTTAAAATAACATAAACAGAGTGACCATTTGAAAGAGGTGACTGAAAAGGGTAATGGGCCAACTGAAACCATTTGGGAGTCATCCTTGCAGTGGTGGACACTTGGTTTACACTCACCTGCTGTGTAATGCACACAATGTCAGAATAACTGAGGGATAATATAACATTAATTTAGGGATAGTATAACAATAATTAAGGGATAGTATAAGAATAATTGAGGGATGATATAATAGTAGGTGAGGGATAATAATTTGGTTTAGTTGAGAGATAATATTGGCTTCCCAGAGTGGCCAAGACAAGACCAAACCATGCCTTCTTGAAGTTGAGCTCAAAATTATGTTAATTTTGCCAATTTTGTTTACACTCAGAATCGATGCCAAATATGACAGCCTATGCCAATACCAGCATATTTATTCCAGACCTGGGGACAACCCAAATCTATATTTTTCTTCAGTCGTGGTTAAATTAACTTACATGTTTTGTGGGCTGCTTGGACATTATTAAATTGGGCCTATATTAATATAGGGATCCCCCTCCCATATATGTCTTAGAAATGAAAGCAGCATTGCTGTGTGCTTATTACAGCCAAATGCTTGTTATACTTTTCTTCATATGCAGGGCATTTTTGTTTTATTTTTATTTATTTAATTATTTATTATATTCTTTTTTGCATAAAAATTTTCCAGCTTCTGCATTCAGCTTTCTGTTTCAAAATTTTGCCAATTTAATTTATTTTCTGCTCGCAAATGTGTATGATAAGGAAGGAATGGCTGTTCATTCATTGGCAGTATGGAGTGGTCTGACATTATCAGGACTTTATTCCCTTGAATTGCTAAAATATGTTATTTGAAAAAACGTATTTTGGAAACAGACTTTGCTCAAAGTCGGTCATATCCCACCAGATGTAATACATTTTTTTTTTTTTTTTTTGGCATTGTTGGCTAAAAAAAAGCATTTTTGATAACATATTTCAAAACTTTTCTGTTCCTTTCATTTCGTGTGGATANACATATATATCAGTCTACCTGAAGGTGGCTTATTTTACAAAATACCCTCTTTAAGAATTTATTTATCCTCCCAGGGACAGAGACTTGTCGTCCAGGGAGAAGGCACGGACAGCAGACTTGAGTGACCAGCCATGGTCTGGTGGAGAGGATGACCACATAGAGGACCTGATCACCCCGTCAGAGGGCAGCTGGACAGGGGACAGGGGCAGACAGGTGCCCCTAACCATGAATGGACTGGGAGGTAGGGATTTTGTTAGGGAAACAGGTGCTCAGTTAGGAATTGTGAATAAGTAGTTTTTGTTGTTTTTTTTTAACCATTGCCATTGTGTGTAAATTTTTGCAGTTTGAATTTGTTATTTTCTTTATTTCTATATATCAGATATAAGATACAGATTAAATCATTACTTAGTGCAGGAGTATATGTTATATACCCTACACTTTGCCTTATTTACAGGATCTCAAACACATTGTAAGCCAAATAATATATCAGTTATAGGTGGAGTTTTTTTTCATCAATTTGATCTATGGCTTTATTGCTCCATCACTTTAACATTGAAAAATAAAATCTTTAAGGCCCAGTCAGAAAGGAGGAGGAGAGAATGTCCAGACATACCAGTGACATCCTGGGTGACCAAGGCAACAGATATTACTCCAGGAGTCTGGACAGGCTTAATGGTGAGATTTGACTGAACAAAAAACATTCTAATATCTACTTGTCTTATCATATATTCACTAAGGGAGAGAAACGGCCCTTTTGTATTTTTCTGACCATAATTGCATGTGCCCTTTCTGTGAATAGCATGACTTTTTGGTTTTGCCTTTGGCTTTAAGGAATGTATGTAACATACTTGTTTTGGGGAGTAAACTGATATTTATTGTAGACAGCATGTGTTGATAGCCTTCATTCATGTTACATTCCTTTATGTAATGGAATTAATACTCCTGCTCAAAAACTGCTTTTGACATGATTTGAAATTGCCAGAAATTACTGTTCATTTGGTAGAAGTCTGTATCTACCATCTTCTGTAGATTATTAGAAAAGGAGAGTGCTGAACTAATGCTAGTATTTGATTGGTTTTAAAATTATTCACTTTGGCAAAAAAAAAAAAAGAAGGCAAGTTTGTCATTCAACAGTAATACCTCTGTCATTGTGTAACCCTGTGTGGCGTATTAGTCTTGCGTTGCATGGTTTGCATGCTCTGTGTTGCAGAGATAGGCCGTGGCTCAAGTAAACCCAGGGAAAGTAGAGGACTAAGAAATCAGCAACGCTACTCACGCAGTTTAAATAGGCTAGATAGACTTAAAGGTATGCTCTAATCCCAGGGACACATTTTCCTAAAAAAAAAGCCAAAAAACTGGTCGTAAATCTTAGACCAAATATTTTGAACAGTTTCATACATGGTTAAATCTGTAGTAGTCCACTTAAGTTCAATACTGGACCTGTTTTATAACCAGAGAGACATGGCTAATATTTAAGACTTACCTTATTATCTTGAATTGAAATTTTGGATCTAAAAGTTAAGACCAATTTTGGGGCTTTGGCTAAGCTTGAGATGTGTAATCCTGGGATCATTGTATTGGCTTCTTTACCTGGTGTATTTTCTTCTTTCATAGACAGTCATTATCCAGGATCTGTAACTGAAATTCTTAAGACCCTAAATACCAAAATCCTCTACCTTACAATCATTAATTGATTTTTTGAAGATTAAAAAAAAAAAAGTTTGGGAAAGTGTATGGTTATTATTCAGTCTGAAGTCAGAAATATTAAATGATGGCTGTATGAGGTTTTTTGGTGTTTAACTGATTATATCAGTGGCCAATTTCATTTGCAAAAGGAAAAAAAGCATAATTATACTAATAATGGGAGTAGAAGACAAGCATACTACATATGAATACATGATTAACAGCAAAAATTCAGTTTTAATTGTCATCTGTGCATAAACGTGGTCATATGTTGACTCATATGAAATATACACATATTCAGACACACATGGCACTGGTGACCCTCTGAGAACGTCCGACCTGAGTGACCCACCTGGTCAGTCTTGGCGTAACACTGACCGTCGGCACAGGTCTGCCCCCTATGGTCACACCACTGGCTACCGAGATGACTGCCAGATGGGGAGGTCACATCATTACGGCACAGAAACCAACAAGATCTACCATGTCTACGACCCTAAAGGTTCACCAGGTAAACTTCTACTTGTGTGATGTAAGTGTGTGTTTGGAAGGCGTTAAGATGAGTCGATTCTTGCAGGTGTTCAGACAGACTAGTAGCCATCTTAACAACGCTCGCTGATAATGTCACATGTGGGGTCTTGGTTATTGTGTTGAAACATATTTTTGAAAAATTAATATTTTGTGTTTATTTTATTTATTTATTTTGGCAAAATATATTTTGTCTTTCCAAATTTTAGTTTGATTATAATTTCCATCCATTAAGGTACGTCACCAATCCGCGTGGACTCTGACCTACGCATGCTGTACGCAATAGGAAAGATAGACGACTTTGAGCTCCTGCGGAAGGAGATTCACGAGAGTCAGGTGGTGCTAAGTGGTATGGTGGCCAGGATAAGAGAGAGACTACGGACATTTAGAGGAGCTTCTCCCTCACAGGTGGGTTCTCTCTCTCTCTCTCTCTCTCTCTCTCTCTCTCCCCCTTCTTGTTTTTTCTTCTCTCTCTCTCTCTCTCTCTCTCTCTCTCTCTCTCTCTCCCCCTTCTTGTTTTTCTTCTTTCCCCCTCTCTCTCTTTCTCTCTCTCTCTCTCTCTCCTGAAAACCTGCTCAATACTTACATTTTTTGTCTGTGGACATGCAAAGAGAACAGGAGACATCTCCTTACATGACAAAGGCAAATAGTCTCCTCAAAAGTTAGAAACTGTTCTTTAGAAATTCAACAGAATGGAAAGTCTTTGCTAAGTGCAGTCCCACATTTGCCTGGTTTCTTTTCTTTCAGAGTGTGGAATACAGCACTCTGCAAGCCTTGAGTGCCTCAGCAGAGAACCTGCGTGTATGTCTAGGACAGGAGGCTCACCTGATCACCCTGTTCTGGATATCACAGCTGCCAGAGACGGACGCTGATGGCTTCTTTGTGGACGTCAGACTCATGAAAGAGGTACTGTTGTAATTAAAAAGTATTTTGAAATTTTATTTTTAGTCTAGAAATGCTGCTGAGTTAATTTTCACAGTACTAAAGTAGTGTTTTTACAAATGTATATGTTGTGATTTGAGGAGGTCTGCACTTGCTATAAAACCATGCATTTTTTCCATTTTAATACGTTTTAAAAATGCGCATCGATAAGTTGCACATAATTTTTTCCTTTGGAAAATAGTTTCAATTGCAGTGAATCTCATAAAGTGATGAAAATTATTGTTTACAGTATTAAGGTATCCTATTGGTAATTTTTGTGCTAAACCTAATTTCCTCAAGGAAAAAAAAACATCTTTCTTTAATCATGAATCCCCTATTGTTCCAGGTTGGTCTGTTGCGGGAGGAGGTGGAGGTCTACAAGAGTAAATATTTCACTGCCAGCGACACTCTCAGGATGTACCAGGAGAGACTGGAGGTGAGGGCATATATAGTTTAGATTCACCACATTCATCAGAAAAAGTTGACTAGACTTTATAACTGTTAAAATGAAGTGTCATTTATATACCAGAAGGAAGACTTTTTGGTGCAAAAGCAGTGATTCAGTTATGTAACACCAAGTTTTAACCTTAAATAAAGTTTCGTGTTTTTTTTTTTCTATAGAAAAGTAACAGACAGAAGGAAAGTATGGCAGCCTCCATTGCAAGAGAAGGTAAACTTAGGATTGCTTGGAACAAATGTTTAGACAAATGTATATTGTGTTTCATGTGAATGTAGTATGTTGATTTTGGATAGGAGCTTTATCTTTTGTGCCTTCCAGTATCTCATCTTATTTAAAGTAAAAATAAAGTACTCATTGACAAAGAAAAAGGTTTTATGCAAGCTGTTTTTGTTCGGTACTTAAATAGAAAGTTACAGTAATGAGACTACTCAGTTTAGTGTTTATAATGTTTATTATATATGCTGTATATTATGTCCCATTCTTTAAATTTTTCCTTGTATTTTTTGTCTCCAGTCAGCAGAACCAAGAAAGTCCTGACAAAATCAAAACAAAACTTCATGTCCAGATACGAGAGGTCAGCTGCCACATAGCAGAACTTTATTCATAGAAGACATTGCAGAAATATCATGAGTATATGAACTGCGCTATACAGGATGGCATATATTGTGTGTATATGACAATGGGTATATGCACTGAATGGGGTGCAGAGAATGTATGACACTTTGCTAAACATATATGCATTTGTTAAACATGTGGATGCATGCAGACAAGGCCTGCAGTGTTCACTAGAGGATTAGGGTAATAGAACGAGGTAAAGTAGTTCCACTGCCAGAGATGAGGAAACCAAGTTATGTAGTGATAGCACACTTGACTCTCATGGAAAACTGTATGTGGCCCAAAACACTGCCAAGTATTGATGTTTGGAAAAAGATTTTTTAAGAATAACATAAACAGAGTGACCATTTGAAAGAGGTGACTGAAAAGGGTAATGGGCCAACTGAAACCATTTGGGAGTCATCCTTGCAGTGGTGGACACTTGGTTTACACTCACCTGCTATGTAATGCACACGATGTCAGAATAACTGAGGGATAATATAACATTAATTTAGGGATAGTATAACAATAATTAAGGGATAGTATAAGAAAAATTTAGGGATGATGTAATAGTAGGTGAGGGATAATAATTTGGTTTAGTTGAGAGATAATATTGGCTTCCCAGAGTGGCCAAGACAAGACCAAACCATGCCTTCTTGAAGTTGAGCTCAAAATTATGTTAATTTTGCCAATTTTGTTTACACTCAGAATCGATGCCAAATATGACAGCCTATGCCAATACCAGCATATTTATTACAGACCTGGGGACAACCCAAATCTATATTTTTCTTCAGTCGTGGTTAAATTAACTTACATGTTTTGTGGGCTGCTTGGACATTATTAAATTGGGCCTATATTAATGTAGGGATCCCCCTCCCATATATGTCTTAGAAATGAAAGCAGCATTGCTGTGTGCTTATTACAGCCAAATGCTTGTTATACTTTTCTTCATATGCAGGGCGTTTTTGTTTTATTTTTATTTATTTAATTATTTATTATATTCTTTTTTGCATAAAAATTTTCCAGCTTCTGCATTCAGCTTTCTGTTTCAAAATTTTGCCAATTTAATTTATTTTCTGCTCGCAAATGTGTATGATAAGGAAGGAATGGCTGTTCATTCATTGGCAGTATGGAGTGGTCTGACATTATCAGGACTTTATTCCCTTCAATTGCTAAAATATGTTATTTGAAAAAACGTATTTTGGAAACAGACTTTGCTCAAAGTCGGTCATATCCCACCAGATGTAATACATTTTTTTTTTTTTTTTTTTTTTTTGCATTGTTGGCTAAAAAAAAAGCATTTTTGATAACATATTTCAAAACTTTTCTGTTCCTTTCATTTCGTGTGGATTGACCTCAAGGTAATTTACACATATTTGTTTACCTTATGGGAATTGTTGACTTGCCAACACACTTTTGCTTCTCTTGGGTACTTTCCACAAGTAATTTGACAGCATAATATTTAAAGTAGGCTGATGAAGGGTTCTATTGCAGGTTCACTAAAAATGAAAAAAAAAATGTGGTTCAAAGACCATCATACAATATATTATTCTTGCAGTTGGTAAAAGGTATAAAAATGGATAGTTAAATAAATCGTATTTATCGGTATTTGGATCAAATTAGGTGAGTTACATGCTCAGGCTTTTATATGTGTTGATATGTATATCTGGTCACAAAGCCTGATTTAAGAAAGAATAATTCTCATAATGCACAAAATGTTTTCTCAAGTATGCATGCAAATGAAGCACTCATGGATATTTATAGAAGTATTGTGTTGTTAGTTCTATGCATCAGCAAATCTAGCCTAAAAACAGTTTGTATTTTTGTATCTCTGTTAAAAACCTTGCACCGTTTTATGAATTATCAATCATGTGTTATGTAATATGCCAAACGTGCTAATTTAAATTCAAGTAAAATGTGATCTCATAATAAATAGCTTAGTNTTTCTCGCCCTAGTGCGAGCTGTCTTTCAGAATACTCACTTTGTAGTTGGACGACTTTGGATGCACTGTACGTGTGGTGCAGTCGCAAGATCGAGCTTTTAGGACACGTTTTGTAAGTATTATAGCTTCTTCAATATCTTCCGTCATTAAACACCGAAAGCAAAGACGTATAAAAGAAAATTCACGCCAAATATAACACGGTTCTTTGCAATATTATGCCTATCGTTACCAGTATGTTACTCTAAGTATTAGAATACAGTATATCGGTTTGCTTTGGGACTGCAACTTGCTAAACGTAAAAGCAGAACGGTGCACTCAGCTTCCCTTTAACAAAAACCTTTTTAGCTCTTCATTTTTTTTTTACTTCTGTATAAACACAATTGCGTGGCCTGGGCAATTAAAGAACATTTTTGATATAATTTGAAAGTCTCGTGTAAATGTAAGCAATATCATAAGGAACTCAGACAGATTTAGAGAACACAGACAGGTTACATGTAGCTTAAATATTTTTCATATTTACTGCAGATAAGACTTGGACAGTCCGTTTTTTGTTTCAGGTTGACAAGTTCTCAAAGATCCCTTTGTAAAGTAAGTATACTTCGTAAAATACAACATACGTACTCGCACAGGCGTGTATCAATTTTCTATTACACAATAATTAACAGAAAAATATTTTTACACTGCCTGCTGATCCCATTGCCAAATATTCTTCATTCTTTACACGACCAACTATATTAAAACTTGATGGCATTTGCATCCAGATTGTGTAAAATGTTTGAGATATATACTTAAAAGAGCAATTGTAAATCAGATTTTTTGCGCTTCTCTCTTCTATAAAGCGTTGCCTGCCAAACGCGTGGTGCACAGCGAGTATAAATATCATAAAACTAAAAGTATTAACAACCACAGATATAACCTTCACAATAAAAAAGTTTGTTTTTGATGTTTCTTTTTTAACAAGATGTCTTAAATAGTTATATCATTAATTCATTTTAGATCATTACTTCGGCTTACGGCAACTTCGGTTTCAGTTGTTTTTTCGATGCTAGTTGAGCTTGAACTTTGGAGAAGCCAATAAACACGCACAACATTACTGTCTTAAATACTCTCTCATCTGTGATGTATTAGTCGTATTTTATGAACCTGTTTAGTAAAAAAAATCCTGAACATTATTTTCTTATTTTAGGATCTCATTGAGATACTGCACACCAAATGCCTGCAAGCCACCCAGCCTTTGGTTTACATTCAGGAACCCGACGCCCACTTATGCATCTATCATATTAAAGCTAATTTAAATAGACACTTGTTATTCTGTGGTTATTAATTTCGTTATGAAATAATGATGATAAAAATAGTAGTAATAATGAAAGTGGAATAAGATTATATTGAATTGATAATGATTCGAGCACTTTCAAATTCAATATTCTGAAACTGATCTGTAGCTATTGTCTTAACTTTGACGATTATCTGTGTTATATTTGTTAATATGCCCAGTGTTGAGTGAATGATGGAATCTGAACATTTAAAATGCCTTGGAGAATAAATCGAAAAGATTTTCAACAACGAATATTAATGATGATCTTGCTTCATAAAAATTTGTTCTTAATTTTGTTGTTATTTTTATAAGTCGTAAAACAAAATAGTTCGTTCTCCCAGATATCATTTGCCTCAATTTTCTCAACTGATCTTTTTTTAAGGGTTCTGGTTTTTGCTTTCACAAACTGATATTAGACGACCTTATATTCACATGATAGTTCTTCTTTCAAAAATTTGAGTAAATCAATTTAACCCCAAATTAGGCCTAAACATTTTGATAGTATAAGATTGGTTATTCTTTACAATTTCCATTATCTGCAAAAAAAAATTGCCTTATTAAATTTGGCATTTAAGAAATATTTCTGATCCCTGCATGTATTTTCTGGCAGATTTGAATGTGCAGTAAATTGTGATGCTTTTTACTAATTTGTGGAATAGTCACTTTCAAGGCCAACTATTAAGTGTCTCTCTGCTTGTCAAAAGTTGATTTCCCCTACTCAAAACTTTGCAAGCGTATCATTTTGAAATAAATTTTGTTCTCATTAGATAATTTTCTTTAGATAAATTTCCTGCAATAATTTTTCATACTTTTATATACAAGTTTCAACGGCTTTGTGCCTGTATTTTTGTAATGGTTGTATTTGCATGCAAATTTTCTTGCCTTTTATCTATTGTTCTGTAAATTTAACACAAAAATTTTGCATTTTCTCAATAGCATTACTTCCAATGATATGCTTTTAAAAGGTATTAAAAAAGTTTCAAATGAACTTCGTTCTTAATGATACACCCAGCTATATGATAGTACGCACCCTCAAATGAAATGGACTCGTCTCACCTGTCACCCCCTCAAATGAAATGAACTCGCCCCATCTGTCACCCCTCAAATGAAATAAACTCGCCCCACCTGTCACCCCTCAAATGGAATGGACTCTTCCCACCTGTTAACCCTCAAATGAAATGAACTCGCCCCACCTGTCACCCTTCAAATGAAATGAACTCGCCCCACCTGTCACCCCTCAAATGGAATGGNAAAACTCGCCCCACCTGTCACCCCTCAAATGAAATGAACTCGCCCCACCTGTCACCCCTCAAATGAAATAAACTCGCCCCACCTCTCACCCCTCAAATGGAATGGACTCGACTCATCTGTCACCCCCCAAATGAAATGAATTCGCCCCACCTGTCACCCCTCAAATGAAATGGACTCGATCCACCTGTCACCCCTCAAATAAAATGAACTCGCCCCAATTGTCAAGCCCCGAGTACAGTTGGATTCATTTTGATTGTCACCAATAGCAATGCGGTAATAGTTACTACACTCATTTGTTTTTATGTATCGTCATTGATGATGATCAAATACAAACACATTTTTATTATACACATTTATTTTCACTGTATAGTAATTCCATGCTCACTGTATGTTACCTCTGATCCTTAATGTCAATGTGTACTACAGAAAACTATAATTACGCATGTGTACTTAAATTCCATTTTGTTTTATACATTTCTCTCACAACAAATTTATGATAAATATAATATGTACATTCACACCGTTGGATAAACAGGGAGTCAACAATTAAAACAGTGCCCGAGAAAGTGTGCATATGTAAAATTATACTTAAACTTTTAGTGGTAATACTTTAGAATATGAAATATATAATTATATATAAATTAACATTCTGATAATTCCTTCATTATGTCCATATCACATTGTTATAACGTTGGACTTTAGACCAAAATCGGCGATGAAAGAAAATTAATACTTTCCGAATTTGGAATTCCAAAATATGCGTAAATTTCTTTTCAAGCGATATTCTCATAACGCCAGACAGGACAAATTACATTTAAAAAATGAGAAAATTTATTAGTCTCAGAACCGGATTGGCTTTGTTGGGCCTTTGTTTAAAGTAGATTACATAATTATGATTCAACTTAGTTTTCATTATCACATGTTGACCATAACTTTTTTTTGCTAATTTTTGACATATAGAAATTATAGCTTTTTATTTTGTGCTGGAATTTTATTATTAGTATTGAGCTTTTTTACTCACAGACACCAATATCTGAAACTGATGCCAAACGTAACTGCAGATTAAAAAAAATGTCAAATTTACATGGAAATCTAAAAGTTCCCTAGTACTGCATATAGAGTATAGTACAGACCGCAAGGTGATACCTGCTTCTTACATTTGAATGGAAATGATACATCTGAAAATGGGCAGATCCAGAATATATTCCTTTTCATATTTCATGACAAAATACACAGCATTTCATCTTTCAAACAAAAGTTAGAATACGGGGATATTTTGAGCTAATTGCAATTTTTACAAAAATAATTGTTAAAGCGAATTTGAAAGCACTTTGTTTTAATTTGAAGAAAAAATACCTATTGGATAAATTGTAGACTCTGAAAATTCAGAACATGCCAATATAACATTTACTTTAGTTTCCTTCAGACAGAATCAAAACGACCCAAAACAGCACATTTATTTTTACAAATTGCTCGTAATACACTAGAGTCACATAACACAAATGATGAAAATAAAACTGATATCTACAACGTAAATAATAATAACAAATAATCCGATAACTAATCAACTTAATAAATATTCTTAGTCCAGTTTATATTCGCAATATGGTGAAAATTTGTGAAATTTTGAAAATTGTGACGCGCAAACACTGAAAAATAGCATCACAGCATTTAAACATTTCGATGACTACACTTTTGCTTAACAAATAAAAATTGGAGAAAAGGGTAAATATGTTTCAATTGGTATCAGATATCTCCCCACTAATTTGAAAAAGATCAATTACTCCCAAGCTTATAATTCGAAAACAAAAATGATCGATTTCTGTATATAATTTGTCAAGGGAACATTATCGATCTTACTTTATCATTTTGATCTGTTAAAATCTAATAAATAGTCCAAAAATGTTTTGAAAAATCACATTAGAACGCATGCACAATTTTCACCATACTGCATGTGCGGTGAGTGAGTGCGTGTTTGTGTGTGTGAGTGTGCGTGCAGGTGCGTGTGACTGTTTCCAGTTCCAAAATACGGCCAAGAAAACTAGGACAGCTTCTATGAGACGCATGGAGGATCTCGGCAAAGGAATTGGCACTTCTGAAACATCAAAAATAACGCTTTAATAACTACAACAAAATGACAATTCTACATTCCATAAAATAAAAATCTAACTAAGATTAGATTAACTGAAATTGGAAAGACTTGTGCTAATGTTGAAAAAGTCGCATTCGGGCTGGTTGATCACAAGTTTGAAGAAATCAAATGAAACTCGTATGTGGTTAAGATTTAAAATTTCAATAAATGCTGTGTACTGTTTTATAGTCCACTGTGAGAGGAATAAATAATAATAATAATAATAATAATAATAATAATAATAATAATAATAATAATAGTTATACGACCAATGCTTCGGGGAAGCGTTCCAAAAGTAAATACTAAAACATACGGAGCAATTAGTTAATTAGGTTATTAGTGTCGATAGAGACAAAGTCGAAGTGCAGTGACATGATGCATATTTCAATTTTTCATGTGCATCACACTTTATTTGATGAATGATAAAACAGCCCGCTTCTACAATATGCAAAAACGTTGAGTTAAATCTCCGAAAACATCCTATGGATATCAAGAATTTCTTGGTCATCGTGAAAACTTATTTTAAAAGTTCTCTCTCGTTCACCTGCTCCAGTTGCAAAAATGAAACGCGTTCTCCAAATATTTTTAAAAAGCAAATGAGAAGGTTCAGGCTAATAAATCAAGTACAAATACTATAGAAGCGTTTTTCTGAAAGGATACAAATGCGTTCCGGTGGCCCGATTACGCAAAGTTAGTGGTAGTAAATGAAGTAACAGCGGCTGGGCACCAAAAAGTGATTTCTAATTTACCAGCTTTTCTCATATTTCACTGCTTTTTGGGGGCAGCGTGCTTTTCAATATTTTAAAGAAATAATCAACATTCAGCTTTTCTGAAATCCACTGAACTACCCAGACAAACGAATTTTAGAACACGTGAAAAAAATGAGGATGTTATTCTAGTACAAACGAGAAGAAAGGTGAAGGAAATAATGGTACAGAGAAATGGCAAAGAACCTAATCAACCAATTTGAAGAATATATGAATAAAAACAAGCTTCAGACAAACACTTATACACAAGCTACATCAAACTTACATCACAACAGACAGGAGAGAAATATGTAAATTACTTTGACAACTGTCGCACATACCACATAATCGAGGTAAACGCAACTTCTTTCCACTTGTATACTTGCGTAAGAGACAGACTGGCTTCCACTTTAGAGTCATCCTACAAGATGTGTCCAAGTTTCTGCGCTGAGTGAAATGTTCGTCTCTGGGACTTCAACACACCTATCCTGTGTCTTCTTCATACAGGGTCCAGCTGTCAAGTGACCAGTGAAGATGACAGCTCACACTGTGCTGAGGGGCTTATTGTTATGTAAATGACAACAGGTATGGAGCATTTTGATTGAAGGGTTGATGTTGAAACCATTCTTATAGAACTGCGAATCTGTATGGTCTTATATAATAAATTGATAAAATACGAAAATTTGTGAGCTCTTGACTAATAGTTTTATACACATCATAAAGTTATAGACGTCTTTAACCCCCCCCCCCCCCCCCCCCTTTGCAGAGTGCGCCAAGAAAGAATCCCATCTTTACTCAACTCTTGTGGAGGGTTATTGGTTCAGACGGATATAGTTCGCTAACCTTTCTATTGTCATGTTTTGGCTCATTCTGAGCGCGGGGGTATATAGTAACTGCCCCCACTGTCTTTTTTGTATTAACTTTTAAAAGAACATTTGTAAAATTTCTGTTGTAGAGATCCTCCCCCTCCCACACCGCACACACTAGGGAACTAAAGAAAGATAATACCGGCGACTTTAGATATGATTTATGCAATTACAGAATGCCCACGTAGAAAATTTTGTTCAATTTTGCTTCCTAATTATTTGGATATCTAGGAGGCACAAACTCGACTTCATTTTAATTGATTAAGTTGCCGAATTGTGGTGTGTGGCACAGACCATTTCTCATTTAGCGTCCCTGCTTAAATTTATCATGAAGTGAATAATAAATATATTTCACGTTTTTATTTTCCTGATATATCTATTCGATTTTAAATGTGGTCTTTTTTTACCAAATCAAATCAAGTTAAAGCATTACTTAAAAGCAGATATTTAAGACACATCTCGATATTACAGCAAATTCTAACACAAACTGCACAGCTTGGATGAAGACACACATAACAACTCCAATTCATATTTTTTCATTGGACTTTTTATTAATTCCTCCATCTTAAAGAAAAGACGGAAGCCTTGCCAGGACAGTAATAAATACCAGCATAATAAATATATGGAGATACCTCCAAGGTGTCCGGCTGAATGGGCTGGACACTGTCCAGTCAGGATGGACACTCCACAACAGCTATCACTACAGGTTAGCAACAAAGTACAGTGACTACTATTGAGGATGCCACCTGGTGGAGAGATGTACATACACTAGAGACTATGTACAAAATATACACACACCTACATAACATGACAATGGGCATTGTACGTGAAAATATCGAACCTCGACTGTTATCAGTTGGTTGACGGTGGCCCGTTTCACTAAACCAATGAAATCGAAATTGGTCTTAGAAAACAGTTCTTTGAATCTTAGCTGACAAATTGGCTTTGAAGAAGAACCCAAAAGGGTTCTGTCTTTTCACTAAGGCCCCTTATGCAAATTGTGATTGTCTTGTCAATGGCTTTTTCCTCTCCATAGATGACTAAATCTCTCATTACATTGATTGTGAGGACCAATCATTGGTAAAACACAAGGGGCTAATGCAACAAAGTTGGCTTTTCGTAACTGGTTGAATTAAGCCGTCTAAGCTAAGTCCAAAAAACTTCAGACCTATTGTGAAAAGGTTTCTATTAAGTTGGATGCTGTTTATAGAGGATGGAATGACCAGTGAAGACTTCTATAAAAAAAAAACCTGACCCAAATGTGTCTACTGGTACCTTGATAACTAGGGAAGTATGCTTTGGGTTAAAGTAACAACCAAATTTTAACTAACGCACAAACAATTTGTCAATGTTATTGTTCTACAAAGTAAAAGAGAAATCTTAAAATGAAGATATCTATTTGCCCAATTCAGTGTGAAATGTGCACAGGGTGGGGAATGAAAGGAGTGAGGAATGAAAGGGTTAAGTTACAAGTGACCTGACTCACACACCCTAGATAAGACACAGCGTTGTTAAGGCCAGTTCTTCTTTACAAAGCCTTCTATCCATGAAAAACAGATACAAACTGGGTTGATTGACTTTCAAGTCTTCACAGCTCTGTAACAAACACAATGCTCTGTATGACAAGTACCAGCATTGCCCATACACATGTACATGTAGCATAGTTTGTGACAAAATTTACAATAACAACATTATTATATACATATAGAAAGACCTTGAACACTAGCAGGGAAATAGCCCATACCTTCTGAACACATTGCGTAGAATTGAACATGTACGTATAATTACAATTATTTGCAGCTTTCTAAACAAGATACCATTGCTTGGGAACAGCTTATTTTCTTTTTATCCTGGGAACTAATCGGAAAATTATCTTTTTTTTTTTGCTACAGAAATTCTGATGCCCATCTTACTTATCTCATACTAACATATGGTTCGAAATAATTTTCATTTCAGAACTGATAAGGAATAAACTATTCCTCAAAGATCATTATACAAATTGCATATAATAAACTAGACATAATTTTAGCACCAAATGAAAAACAAAACCCGCCGTTACTTGGTAAATAATATTGCACAATAATTTCAATGGCAGTGCTGTTGACAAACGCTGACACTGATTGTACATGTCAGGGTGTGACACTAAAGCTTACGACACACACACAGAGTTAAGTATGACATTTTGATTTCTTAATATTCACATCAGATCTACGGGAAAATTTATCTACATATAAAACACCGAATAAGGCAACTGTGAAACGGACAATTTTCTTCTCTCTTTGTGAAAATGTACGAATATCTCCCGCTGATATTTGCCATATTGTTGGAAGAAGTGCATAACAATAGCATTTCCCAATCATAATTTTCTTAATTTGTTTCTCTTTTTTTTTGCATGAACCTTATGAAAAGAAAACAAAACCTTTGGACAATTTTTCAACTTCGAGTCCAGCTCTTATAATTGCAAATTGCTGTTAAACATCCATTGAAATGCAGAAAAGTCTGATAATCCTCACTTAAGTGTTCGAAGATGATTTCTGCAACATATTTTGCCCTCTTAACAGTTAGGGGTTTCACGTTAAGATATGATTTCAGAATCTTAGAAGATTCTCAGTTTGAAAAACTGTCATTAACCATCTTCTGCAGTGAAAACTTTTAAACTGGGTTTGAAGAAGGAGGATGGAACAGACGTTGGACCAAAGTCCATCTTCAAATAACCCAGATATTGTACACTAAAATGGTACTTTTCTTTTCTCATCTTGTGCAATGTAGAATGTTAACAAGAGCTTGTCTTGAAGTCCGCGTCAGACAGCGCAAACTTGGCCCTGGTGGTTCCAGGGGGATATGACGCCATTTTTTCCAACTCCCTGGTACCTTTCCTTCAGCTGGCTCAGGGCTGTCATGAGGCGTGTGTTCGCAGAGTCCAGGGACTGAATGCGCCGCTCTTGTGCTTCGACAATTTTTTGTTTCTGCGTGACCAGCTTCTGCATTTCAGCGTGCTCTCTGCGCAATTCCTCCTCCACACTAATCAACCTAGAATTCAAATGGAAAAATAATTTACACCAGTGTTTGGAAATGATTTCCTGACAGATTTTATGAAGAAATTCATCAAACTGTGCAACACAAACAAAGCAAAAGTTTGCTGCTGCAGGACTTCACACTGAATTTAAGTTTTGGCTAACACATGCTTCTGATGAGAGTAAATACCATAATTCTATTATACTTTTATTTGAATGACTTATTGAAAAATCCTTAGATATTGCATAATGGATGTTCTGTTTTACATTAATTATTATTAATATTTATATGAACCTGGAGACCTTTTTAAAAAAGATTCTGATTTTTCTAGAAAAGTTTTATAAGCATTTTTTGAGATTAAGCTTTAGGTCGCCACACTCTACACTTAGATGACTATGACTAATTAAGCAATACGTAGGAGAATTTGTGTGCATTTATTCGTTTATTCTTTCAAATGATGTCCCCACCCCTTATTATTTTTTAAAGACAAATGAAACAAAACAGGACTTCAATATACAAACAAATCAACATGCTATATGAAATGTATTTGTGGGAATTCAAATGGACATCTTGAGTTAGATGACAAAATGTAGTTAAACAGAAGGTCTCAGCATGCAAAGCTCTGAAAGTTTATCTAACATGGAAAACATCCAAAATCTTGAAAATGATTTTAAAGTATAGACAAACCAAGATATTGTTGAAACAAACATTTTAAGTACTTTTTCAAGCATAACAATATCTTGACGGTTATGTTATACCACAAAAAAGTAGGAAAAATCATGATGCAAATTGGCACAAAAATTTTCAGAAGTAATCATCAAACAAATAAATAAATGAATAAATAAATAAATATAAACTCTGGCACAAATGGAAAAAGAAAGACAAAAGTCAATGACAAGACACCAATCTTGTAACTCACAAAAAGAATAAACTCTGTACAGTGTGTTTCAAAGAAATGTTGCAATTAAGAAAAACTCATGCAATATGCAGTTCAAACAAAGAGACATTACGCATGTATAAATGTGTAATATCAAATGAATGAAAAACCATTCAATATTTCCCCTTCAATATTTGGTTGGACATTTGATCCTCAAGATTTCCACAAAAATATTGGAGGGAAAAAGAAATAACAATGCACAAGATCTTGTGTGAAAAAGAATAGTTTACATTCAGAAATAAATGTTGCATATTTTAAGAGACAGATTGGTTGAGTTGCCATAACTTTTTTGTATGAATATAGGTTTGGGTTGGGGCCTGGGGGTGGGGGGTGGGGGGTGGGGAGTGGGAGAGGGAGTAGATATCTTTAACAGATCAGAACAATGCAACTAAAAATAATGCATACATAGCTTATATATTAAAAACCCTCTAATAACCACAACAAAGGCACCATAGCAACATAGAAATAATTAACAACGGTGATCAGCTACCATGGCAACAAAAGTACAAAACCATGGCAACAAGGAATTCTTACCATTGTGCATGTGCCGGAGTTGCTTTTTGTGAAGAAAACAACAAAAATATGGTCAATGTCAAACTTTTAAAACTCGTGCAGTTAGTATAATTGAAAACAATTATCTACAATAAAGGGAGGTGAAAAAGTACGCAAGTTTTTCCACCATTCTTCAGGTTAATCATGCAGTGCAAACAAAACCAAAAACATTTGCTGGACAGAATTGTGTGAAACATCTTAAAACATTCTTCTGGATTCATCTTCTTAGTCTAGAAACATCCACATTGCACCCAAATGCATTAAGAAAGTTTCACACAATTTCCTGTTCTTGCTTCAAACATCTCTCCTCTGCAAATCTAAAAATGTTTTCTATTTCTTGTTTTTTAAAAATCTTTTTCAGTGCATCCCTCTATCCCACCAATTATCTTCACTTAAAGGAATACTCTCTTGATAATACTCTGAGTAGCTTATTAAAATGATGGGGTGATGTTTGAAGCATGTAACAGCACCCACAGTGACGCATGCATCAAGACTTACATCTAGCATACAAAGTTAGCCATTTATCACTAGGTTAGTTTCAGCCTGTATGTTGATACAATAAGGAAGAGAGGAGATGATCAAGGCAGTCTTCTCTGAAAATAAACAACAGCACTGAACACACAAAAAAAAGAAAGCACATGCAAAATTCCATGCTGCAGCTATGTATACAAGCTCCATCTTCCAAGACTTTATACAAAAGACATGTTAACACCAAAGGCTAAGCTACTTTAACTGCAAGTCTACAAATTATACAAAAAGTTTTAAAACAAATAGAATGGCAGACTGGCACCTGAAGCCCAGGTTCATCACAAACCCACCACAACCTAAAACCTCTGAATCATTGGTTTTGGTATCAATTTTTAAAGCCATGTACTCATTCTGCACATGCTTGATAGTATTTCAAAACAACCGGTTTTCAGAGGAGTTAGGAGTTCAAAATTCCAAATATTGTTTTTTTTTTTTTGAAAATTCAGCAGGTCCATTTTGCTGACTGACACCCCATATCTCAAAGGCCCTGCACCACAAAGCAGAGAGAAAAACCTGTGAGTCTCAATATGTAAATATCACAGGACAGAGATTTCAAAATGGATAAAAGCATATATTTATATATTACCCACCTTTGAATTATATTTTTCATTTGCTGGTCTTTTTCAGCCTGCTGTTGGCGTAATTTTTCCTCACTCTCCTCCAGCTTTTTCTGCCACTCTTGCGCCACCTGTTGGTCATGTTCAGCATGTCCGCTCAGTTGCTCTTCTGCCTCCCGCAACCTTCGCTCTGCTTCAAAAAGCTGCTGCCTCAAGTGGTTCAGCTCATGCTCATACTGAATCAAAAAAGGAGAATGAGGTTAAAATTCATTAAATTTTCCATAGTCATAAAACACTACAACAGAACCATGAATAACCTCATCCCTTCAATGGTTAATAAATATTCCCACTATTAATGATAAATAAAGTTAAGTTTACCTCAATCTTTGTTTTATCCTGATCGTTTATCTTCCTCTGCACAGATCGTATGCCCATGTGTACGCCTGTCTGAGGTAAAGATGGCCGCCTGCTTGGAGACGTAACCCCGCGTGGACTGTCAGGGGACTTTGCAGACAGTGAGTCATCTGGTGATGTTGATGTAGGCATAGTTTGCATTGACATTGAAGATGGTACTATTGGCTGCTCTTTTGCAGAAGGAGGCTGTCGATATGATATTGAAGTGTCAGTGGCAGTTCGCCTAAGTTCATACCTCTTCCTTCCCATCAAGCTAGAGTCATGGCTCTGCGAAAGAATAAGTGACTGAAGTGCTAGGTCATTAAACGAGGCCGGTTGGCATTCAAGTGCAGACTGTCCATTCTGAATTGATTTTTCAACTTTTGGTGAAGGGTTCACCCTTGCATAGTGAGAGGGGGACTCCATAGGAGGTTTTCTGACCTGGCGCCGATCCCGTGGCGGGGTGGCTATAGACTCACTACTGCTGGAACTAACCATAACCCTTTGTGTTGAAGCCCTTACTTGCTGGGGTGTGTATGGTTTACCTGTAGTTTGTTTGGTAACTAACTGTCTACTTGATATTGAGTCTTTCTCATCCATGCTGCTGAGAGAGCTAGCACTGGAGTCTCTACGAGGTGTGCTACATTTTGGTGTGGACTGGGCATGTTTATGGTGATACATTGGGTTGGCAAAGGACAGAGGCTGGGCTAATGGAGGAGACTTTCCGTTGTCTCCATCATTGGGTACCAGAGAGTCCACGGGGGAGCTGGACTGACTGTACCCAAACGACTGATACCCAGAAGACGCCACCGTGGACAGCTGACTAATGGACGTTTGGCTGCCCTTCATATTTTGGTCTGTTGTGGCCCGTCCTCTTTTTTCCTCCCCAACCACATCATCCATGTAAGATATCAGGTCCACATACTCCCCATTGACTAGTTCCGCAGCATGCAAAATGTCATTCCATGATTGGTCAACGACTGACCTTTCAGCAGTAACATTTGTTCTTGATGAGACGTCAAACCTCCGTGAATTTTCTTTGAAATCGTGAAATAAAACATAATCGTCTGTTGAGTTCAGATCTGGTGCAACAGGCCTCCTGTTTCCAGCCTGGTTCGTATACGGCGACGAAGGCACCGCTGTGTGAATAATGTTTTCCTGCGTGTGCATTTCTGTGTGCACCTGACGCCCATTGTTAATGTTCATCAGATTGTCATATATCTGGACGTTATTTAGGGCAGGTTTTTTGGGAGTTGGCTCAGGGTTCTTTAAAGCTTCAGACACTGTGGCCAAAATGGTGCGCAGCCTGGCTAACTTGATTTCTGTGGCCTGAAATGAGAGAGAGACATTTATTTCTGCTTGTGGTAAACCTTCATATGAAAATCAAATGTTTTTTTATAAACAAAGTTTGTTATATAACAGTTTTGACAATCTGGGTATGAATTCGTCCATTCTAATTAAATAACTGATGAATCCTTTCAACATTATATTTAGAAATAATTTGGCATTATTTTTCACTCAGCACCACCATACCTCATTTAACTTTTCCAGACTCTCCACCAGTAAGGAGTGCATAATGGACAGTTCTTTACCCAGGTCAATGTAGCCATCATACTCCATCAGCTCTGGGGCCTTCTCCTGGTTCTGGAATAGAACAACAATTTTAGACCCTATGTCCTGGACATCTACACATTACAGAGATCCTGAACCCAAGTTCTGGATATCACTTACTTTAGCCATTAAATCAAGATTTTTTACAGCCTTCTGTGTGTAGCACATAAAACTTAAACCAGAGAATGGGTCATTTTTTCATCTGAGGCACCTTTATAGTTAAATCCGTTCAAGGTGAAACATAAGTTAATCAAAAGACATAAAGAATACATCCTGGACGTGTTTACAAAGTTTACTTACTGAGATTTTGGTAAGGAACTGCTTCATTGTTCCCCATTCTCTCTCAACAAAATCATTCATGAACACCATGTATTCCTCCTTTCCACCAAACCTACAAAATTAAATATAATACCATACAACTGTATAGACAGAGTGGTTTTCCCTCAGTTTATCTTTTTGTGATCAACAGTATAAATCTGACTACCTTTTATATTATCTGATCTCTTACATCGCATTATTTTTTTGCATACAAAGTTTTTTGCAATAAGAGGATTCAACTTACTTTGTAAAGTTTGCCAGATTTTGTATAGTTTTTGCTATAAGTGTCAGATTTCTAGCCGCTTTGTCTTGCGGAAATTCTGTAAGATAAAACAAAATAAAATATATAATAACAATAATAACAATAATAACTAACTGTTCATTTGTTTAGTACCCACCTCAGTGAAGGTGCTTTACTTTTTAAAATTTTTTTGCATCATCAGATTTGGCAAATTACATGACATTATCAGATTTAGCAAAATATGTGACAAGTCTACCAAATGCATTTTTATTATTGTATTTTCTTCTTCATTAATTTTCTTTTATCATACAAAGCTGATATCATACAAACCTTGTGTGAGGCCAAATAAACTGGGGGACATGATGGAAGGGCAGAGGAAGCGCAAGAAAATGGAGGCACTGATCAGATTATCACTAACATCTTCTCTCTTTCTGTTCACACAGCGATCTCGAAATTGTGCAAACACATCCTTCAGCTCTCTATAATTATAAAATAAAATTACAATATTAAATGTTCTGAATACACACCATCTATTTACCTTGAATCTTTTTGTGTAACTTTATCTGTGTTGTCTTTTCAATTTTTTATGATAACTTTCCCGACAACCACTCATTGTGTGTTATTCACAAAATTCAAATCCCTTTTCAATTGGATATTTTCAGGAAAAACAACTAAAAGTTGAGATCATATCACTTAAATGTTATTATTTTGGTCAAATAACTGCAAGAATTTTTGAAGGAAACCAAAATTTGGACTACACCAGAGACAACTTTGGCGAAAAACAGAAAAACAATTTCCACTTTCCTTGTCCTAATTATATAAGTTACCATTTACTTACTAAGTCAAAGCGAACTCAAATAATCAGATTTAATGTGTATGAAGTCCCTTACCTTGGGAAATAACATGCGGAGTTGATAATTTTCACCCAGGCCATCTCACAATACATCACCAGGCTGGCCTGATGGCGCTGGAGGACATTGTTGTTGGTGACCTTGGTGGGGTCAGGCTCACAGTCGTCTGTGGACTCCAACATAGAGCGAACAAATTCACCCAGTGTATCTTGTAGATACTGAAATGGAGGAATAATTTTGAGGTTAGCAAACATTTTGTGCCATTTTTCCTTATATTCTATCAACATGTGAGAAATGTTTGATATTTTAAAGAGATATGGATTTTTAAATTTTGCAGTTTCTGGACATTTGCATTTTTAAAATTTTGCAGTTTCTGGAAGTGTATCTTTTAATCTTTTGATAATTTTAGAGGGATAGTGCTGCCCCCTACCTTCTCTCCCACTAACTTCATGTATGCTTCTATAGACTTGGTTGCAATGCTGTTCCCACGGAATGTAAGGTGCTCATTATCTGTAGTTCAAAAAGTCATTTTTTAAGCAATAACATATAGGATGAGAATCATTATAACCCTAGTCAAAACATCTCTGGTTTATTACTTTACAAAAGACTAGTACAATTTGTCACAGCAAATTCACAAGTTTAAGCACGAGATTTTGAATGTTGATATAAGAACTGATACGAAATTCCAGAAATAACCACACAGTTAATAAGATTTCATGTTCAAAAGTAAAATTCTGACTACATATATGTTGATTCTTTTACAGCATATTACTTTCTATTTACCTATTTATTTTTATTTATTTATTTTTTGCATATTACTTCTTCCACATAGAAACTAATTTTCTGGATGATGAACAGTCTACCAACTCACCCAGCTTATCAATCTCTCCCATGACGATGTCTGGCAGAAAGTGGTCAGCTTTCCCCAGTCTCTGCATGATCCTCACCATGGACATGGCGATCTCCTCCTTGGCCTTGACACTGATCACTGGCTCCAGAACCTCCACCAGACACATGTAGTCTGTGCTCAGGTACTGGAATAGGAGAACAACTGGATGAAACTTTACAAAGTTGTATGTTTGGCTGAATTATAGCCTGAGAAGATTTTAATGGGACTATATAAGTGTGACAAGTTGTAGCACACAAATGCATTGATCCTCAGAATTGCTAAGATGTTTCAGTCTTGGTGTGTGTCTGGTATCGGAACACATTGATTGCTTTCCCATATGTATAAATTAGCTACCACAGAGCTCCATTCAAAAATGGCAAGAAAAAAATTCACATTCTTTTTTTTTTTTACCTCTATAAAAAAAAAAAAAAAAAAAAAAAAAAAAATAAAAAAAAAAAAAAAAAAACTATCCACCACTTTATCTGTATGTCACACCTTCCATCAATGCATGTTCATACACGTTGTATTTTTACTTTTAGAAGCGTTGGTTCTTTTATCATACAAAACTATTTGCAGCTTTTCTTAACAGGTAACTGTAAGGTCAGTTGAACCCTTTGCCCTTCATCACATGGAGTCCTGACATTCATCTTTGTCATTTCAAACTAACAGGAATGTGTCAGCAGATGGTTGCCCTTTCCAACACAGGTGGCCAAAAGTTCTTAGAATTCCCTCTGTCTCTCTCTCTCAGACACACTCACATACAGGCGCGCACATGCACAGAGAGAGAGAGAGAGAGAGAGAGAGAGAGATAGAGAATGAGAATGTCTTTTACCTGAATAAATTCTTGATATGTATCCATGGGTAATATCTGTACAGTCTGGTAGCGTGCCTTGAGACGTACTAGAGGGAGATCACTTTTATTTTCCTTGGCTGCTCTTCCAACTGTCCCTGAACTTGCTGTGTACCTACAAAGAGAAAGAAAAATATTAAAATCACATTTGAAATCTATACAAAATTTACTATAGACTGCCACAAGATGAAAGACACTTACATTCAGAGCCTTCAACATCCTACCAAACATCATCAGAGTTAACAATTCCCCCAAATACTTGTAACATGTGTTCAGCAGCTGACTGCAAACATCCAATCTACGAAATCCAACAGACTGCTTACCACAGCAAACCTCACACTTGCCTCAACCACAGAACTAAAAGACAGACAATGTTATAAGACAAGCAAACAGGGCATACATCATACATCCACAGACTATGGACGCCTTATAGACACCAAAAAGAACATACTGCTGAAGGTTAGTCAGATAAATCTTCCCTGGGACTATCTTTTGGCAAACTTTCTCTGTTTCAAGTGATGTAATTCATGTTCCTCAAGTCACACTATACTCTTGTTGCTCTGGCCCTGATATCTTGCCAACCTCAACGATGATACAGAGACCAGTAACAGGAAAATGTTCAACCCAGGCTGAATGTGCTAGATGAGACTGGATTGCGTCATGTTGTGATCAAATGATTTTTTACCAAGAGAGCTGTTCAAAGTTGCATAAAACTTCAACAGAATCATAATATTTGAAAAGAGTGAATAAAGGATCTAGAAAATGGGACCAGATGCTGTGTTTGTAGATAATGTCAAAAAGGAAAATTTCTTTGTTTTTCAAGTAAAGACACTTCATAATTCTGCATTTCTTTTTTTTTTTAATAAACAAAGAATTTTGACATATATCTAACTTTCAGACATTGACATATTAAAGGAAAGAGTCATGAAATCCTTCTGTACACTACAGAACACTGCCTCAATAAAAGCCCCATGATATCCAAAATATCAAGCATGAAAATTAATCCATCTTGAAATTTCTTTCCCTATTACCATCTGTACACTAGCTCCCTCATCAATCTCCTATCCATATACACGTCTGTAGTTCCCTCTTCGTGCATGGCCATAAATTGCGAGACAAGACTATTCACTTGATGCAATCACAAGTGTATAAAGAGTTCAGATTGCAATGACATTGATGTTTTTATTTAATTCTAGCGGCCCCACCCCTTGCTATGGAGACAAGCTGTGGAAAAATGCTGTGTTGTGAACAGCTTGTGGCAAAAGAAGATGGAGCTGTTTTTTCACCGTCATTTATAATATGCAGAACAAAATGGAAGGATAATCCAACCAATCAGAGAAGAGATGAAGAGTGTGAAGTTACAAATAATGTAACGATTTGTCAGTTGTACTTTGATATAACATACTAGCTGCTATATCATTATCACATTTTCAACTCTGCTCTACAGTTAACTGTATTAATTCAAGTTTATTCATCACATTCTTATTCCAATCATATCTTATAATTTCTATCATATTCTGTAAGTATGTTTGCTTAAAAGCAGATGTGATGACGACTCAAGTTTTGTAGAAGTTCCATATTTCATGTCATTTTTCTTGTAAGCACTATTCCCGTTTTCTTTCCTACACCTGAATCATCAATCTCGTCTGCACACACGTTTGCTTTAATGGTAACTGCTATTTTTGCAATGGTTTCTCCATGTGTGTTATTATTTATGGGTCTGCATACAAACGTCTGCTGCTAGGTTTACTCACCATTTCTCCACAAGCTGCCTGTTATTCAACTCATCCACTGGGATATTCACATAACCTGAAGAAAAAAGACAACCAGATTAGAATTACACTTAAGATCAATTTCCACCACTTAAATAAAGACAAATATAGCCAAGAGATACTTCAATTTCTGATCTAAGTACACTTTGTATCAGAGAAAACATTTCTGACTAATCTATTCAGCATACAACTTAAGAATAAAGGTTAAAGTTACTAGATTGCTTGTCTCTGCCTGCATACAACTCCATGTGAATGTTTTAACCCTCTACGATGCTCAAATATCTGGACTGATATACCTGGTAGTTACAAGTAAAAAGCTAGACTGTCCTGATATCCTTGCAGCATATACACATATGTGTGGATATTCTGGCACCATCTGTTTGTCACTTTATATCAAGATTCAATGACAATCTGTATCTTGTTTCAACTTGTCTTTGTGTTACATTAAAGAGGCACAGTATGTGTGCTTGAAATGATCGTGTATCTGTTTCAGAGTGTGTATAACGACGCTGGGTTATTTTAACGTAAAACCAATTTCCTCTCGTGCTTCAACCAATCACAAGGACACCTTTTCAACTACGAAAAAGGAGAAGATAAACCGACATTGGACTGCAAGCTGAGAGTACAGAAATTTACAGGTTACATATTTCAGTAGATTTAATAACAGCCTCTTAATCAATTGACCGCCATCTATTTATTCCTGATTTCATAAGATTTTACATTTCAATTGCTTATTGTATCAAATAGCAGCAACAGTAATCTTGGAACTTAATCACAATCACAGAAGACATCTAATACATGACAACAACAGTAGAAACTGTAAAAAAATAGATGTATTCCAAAGTGCCAAGAATTCCTTTCCTTTTTTCCTCCTCAGAATTTCTCTGTGTGGTCTATCAAATGTCTAGCAAGAGGGCAAAGATTGAGCTTCCCATGAGCCCTACATTTAGACACTGCACACCTGAGACAGCTACTATTTCTGATGGATGGATGGATGAATGGTCTCTTAGTATGCTGTCTTACCTAACACAAGGTGGGGACCTCAAGCAAGGGTGGTTCAAAAATAATCATACTCCACTATTTTTAAAGTACTGTAACTTATCATACACCCTGTAAAATGTTACAGAACTCAGTGAGGGGATCGGAGTTACTATACAAAATTTTGAATTGCACCTTTTCAGGTATACAACTATTTCTGCTGCACCTTGTGGACTGTTACCTGGTATGTTACCTAACCAAAAGGGTACAGAATGATACCAAATGTAAGATGGCACAGAACTATAAATTACCATAGAGAGCTTCAGTGCATATTAATGTTCTTCCTTAAATATAAGTGAAGAGGGCAGCAGGGAAAAAATGATGCAAAATACTGACTGCTCTGAGTAATAAAATTCTGCACTCATTTTTGTGCAAATTGATGTGTTACCTTGCATTCTGAGATTTTCATTTCTCCTTTTTTTCTATAGCTGGGATGAAGTGACAAAGAAGGGAGGAGGAGCTACGTACGTGTGTGCGAATGTGCGAAAAAGTATAAGTATTGGGTGGTGCACAAGATTCAAAATTACCACCAGGTGCAAAAGTTTATAAATTTCCAATAAAAACCTGGGTGGTATCACCCCTCCATTAACCTCTCCCATGTCTCTCCACACCAGAATTGTGAACTCAGATGTTATTCCAATATGGCACTGATAGCTCTGATTGTGTAAGGTTGTATTTCTAGTCAAGCTATGACCACCTAACTCAGTACTGTGTACCACAGTAGACCATGCGATTAATATTTCCAACTTAATCCAGGGTGCTTACTTTGATCACTATGACAGAGGAGTTTGATGGATTTTTCTAGATTTTATAAACATAATCATGAAGCTGAGATAGTGTGTGCTGTTCCAACTTAACTGGAAATGCTACCAGGGTGTTATCTCCTGTACAGACACACATACCTGGATTTGGTTTAAATCAGGGATGAGAATTTTCCAGGTAGCTCCAACTTTCCCACGCAAAAGTAAATTTTACTCGTTGGTATAAATCTGCCCTTCAGCAAAAGCAGTTACTTTATTACTTTTCCCCCAATATCATTCCCAAATTTAGTAAAGTAAATATCAAAAATTAGGAATGGAAAGGGGAAATGTGGAGAGAGTGTTTGATATGGATCAGACACATGATGGTGACACTGAAATACTGCCCTCATAGTATGTACTAACCACAAACTCATCCTACATCATATCACCTGATTTTCAAACAAGATGCTGTATTTTTCTGCCTCTTACCTATTAGCTGGTTCTTGTCCTTCTTTTTCTTCTTGTCAGCTTCTCTGTAAATGTTCACAGTCACAGTTTCTATGGCAGGAAGATTACTGAAAAACCAAAAGATGGAACCATCAAATATTAAGTTATTGAAAGAAAACATGAATTTCACACACAAATGACATTAAAACTACAACATCAACCTTTGTTTTACATCTAACTTAAGTAAAAAAACATCTGACACTAGTGTTTTATGCCAACAATATGCCACTTAGTTTTTTTACAAGATCATACAATGTTTCCATTGATCTTTGGTTTTATTGCCCACACCATATCAGTTCTGAAAACCCAGACTTGTTTCTGCCACAGGCAGTTTATTTTGTCTTTTTATCTTTTTCACCATTTTTCCCCTATAAGGTCCGTCCCTCTCTTCACCTGCTGGTGCCTGGAAGCAGGGCAGGTGACTTCTGTCAAACCAACCCTTTCATGTTGTAGCATTGCACAACACTGTTGTAAAATGTGTCTAGGCTTTCTCCCCTGGCCTTGTAATCAATTTTCAATTTCATACTGCAGATTTTAAAATGTGAAGTACCTTAGCCCATTCCAGGTATTATTCGTAAATTGCAATCACAAATTAGCTATTACGGTTATAAAGGCAATGAATAAAATCAATCTTTCATCTTCTCTTTTGATATTTTCCTTTTTAAACTGTGACATATCAAATGCTGTTCATCACTGGCTGAAAAGGCAAAAAGTATACCCTTTAAAATAGTTTTTCATACCATAACATCAGAGGAGTGAGATGCTTTTGCATATCAGATTATATATGCAAATGATTAAAGTTTGTGTCTGCGCTGACTGCTTTACTGATAAAATATCTCTGTGAGCTAAGGCTGTTGGACCATTTATAATAATAGTTGTTTTTGTTTAATATGATCAAATATGTCACATGTTGAATTCATCTTCTACCAATTTTGAAACTAAATTGCCTTGATTAATACATTTTTATCTGTTAATAAATTCAACAAAAGGGTATATATGCATTTGCTTTCGAGCACTATAAAAATGAACACCCGCCCAGCTTCCACTTTATTCCTAACATCATTTTACACAGCTATTTTTAGATAAAAGCATTATGTTCAGTGTAAGCACATTATGTTGGGTTTGGTTCATTTTACTCTCCAACTCTGTAAATAAAACATGCACAGCTGATGTGAGTTGCGTTGATGTCATTTTGATGGGATCACCTTGCACAAATGGTTTTTCTCTGACATGAAAAGAAAGGCTTACTTATGGTGTGTTCACAAAGGCACAAGTACAACAGAAATCCTAGGCATGCTATCTACAACTTTCAAGTCTTACATAGCCATCATTAGGTTGTCAGCCCAGCAACAGACCACCTAAATAAATCTTGGGCAGCAATTACAGAGTTTGGCTACTGCCTGCTGGGTTATCAGTTGCCTTTTGACTACATGTCTGATAATATCGATTAATCGAATCCACAAGAAAAAATACTTTTTTTGTGGTGTGAATGAACCTTTGGATATAAATAATCCATGAAGGCTTGAAAACAACAGATGGCACATCAGGTAAAAACATTTAAAAGATTTAAGAGCATCAATATCAGTTCTTACATTATTATGTGTGGAATGGTGGCTATGAGAGGTTGCTGTGTACAAGTATTTTCAATTACAAGTATTGTCAACAGTAACATGTTGGTGTTAATTTTAATATTTCAGTAACAAACAAATTGAGCGCAGTTTAGATACAAACATCCAAAAGACAGCAGGGAGTGCCATAACTTTTGTATTAAAACAGCAAAAAATTATCAAAATAAAATACAGCTTTAAAATAAAATTGATGACATTTTGTCTCATTTACCTTTGAAGCAAACAAGATAAACTGTTCTAAGATGATTCCCATAGCCGGAGGCTGGCTGTTATGTAATGTATAGGCAAACTAGCCACTGCCGGGGTGGGGGTGGGGGTGGGGTGGGGGAGCGGGAGGATACTGACAACTCCACCTAGACCAGCTTTGTCATCAGGATAAAATTTGGGAAAGTTTCATTCTTTGTTAAGTGATCTCTAAAAGGCTACAACCAACTTACTTGAAGTCAAAGTTTTCTCCCCAGAACAGGATCTCTCCCTTGGATTTTGAGGATGTCCTTGCATAAAGTGTCCTGTCCAGACACACCTCACAGAAATATCTGAAAACAAGAAATTAATATGTTAATTAAAATGTTAAAAACTTCAATTTACAACATCATCACTGCTATATGCAAACAGAAATTACACACGTTATCCTGTTTTATTTTCAAACTAACAAATTTACGTGATGTGATGTATTTCACTTTTTTTTCAAATATGAATTTTGAAACAAAATACTGACATCGTCATTAAAAGAAAAACTGTATGGGGGATTCTATTTAGTGGAATACCACCATTTTTCAAAACATAAAATATAAATTGTTCTGAACACATGGCACAAGAGTCACCAAGGGTTTCTGGTACTGCACCCACATTTTCCTATCACTGTTATTATTTTCAAAATGACTGATATTTAACTATGGTCTTCCTGTTTACTCCCACGTTACAATTCTGAATGATGGTTCTATCAAATAAGTAATATACCATCATATAGGTATTTCAGTTAAATTAACATGTTGCATTTGAATCCCTCTTCCTGTATCAGCCTATATTTAACCATACAGGTGACTTCACTGGGATAAAGAGAAACCAGAAACTACAGTTAATCTGGTAATAAATATGCCACAGTTGTTTCAAACGTTTCGTCCACAACTTTCCCATGACCTGTTAATTAATCAAATAATGAAGTCATGTTTTTTTATTTTCTGAGTTGTACTAAAATTTTCAACTTCAAAGAAAAGGTCAAGGACAGATCAGGATTAAGAGACAATGGTGCCACAGTTGTTTCTAGATATCAAACAGATTTTGTACCTCAAGACCCTCTGTTGACTTGTCAAAATCATTTCATTTTTAAAACATCAATGAATTAAGAGTCAAATTTTAAATGGAGGAGGTACTGCAGACAACGATACCTTGTTACAGTAATTTTTTTTACCGAAGCCTTTCACACTGTATAAATTGCCAAATTTTATCTATTTAAAGTTCCTGATAACCTATTTGTTCAGGGTACAGGAAAAATTAATCACAAGTACATTTAGTTAAAGATATATTAATCTTCGAAACAGTGATTATAGCATATAAATAGAGATGACTAATAATGTCAGAATCGGCTCAAGTTATGATACATATATTGCTGAGGTTTCAACACATGGTGTATCAGTATTTGTGTGTGAAAGTATAACATGTATATGATATCCAGATAATATCTCCCCAGAAAGCCCCATCAACATCACGTGTACATACGTGGGTGTTGTATTGACTGTGCCATACAAAGGCTTGGTGAACATGAGGTACTGACACATCAGTCAGAAAGTGTCACGTAATCTTGGTGCGGTTGACACACAAGACAACCTTTTTCAATTACCAAGCTCATGCAATTCTGTGCAACTGTAATACTGGGACAAAGATTATAGGCTGGTTACAGGCATTCAAAATGTGCATGCAACTGACTCGAGTGAACTTTGATATCAAAACTGACAAATGAGAATATGCATGTGCTTGTTGTACATGGACAATTTCATTAATTCCATATCCAAAATTTGCCCATGCTGTATATTATGCCACTATTACTGCACAACTCACTTTTGATACAGAATATGAAACAGTAATGTATTTATATCTATAAAATTATTTCCATCAACAGATTTATCTAGCAGAGATATGACAATTTTAACACTGGATTTGACTGCAGGGCAATGTTTGTGGCAAAACAAACCACTTCAAATATACATATATTACAATACATATATGACTTATATGATATATTATATGTTAACCCCCAAGCTTTAACAGTCTAAAGACCGAGTCCTTTTTTGTGTCCGACTACTTAACATGGGTGTGTGTTTTGTGTAACCCCCACGGCACAAGTACGGTATAACAGGAGGGGGCCATCTCATGCACTTCTTTGTTTAAATCGTGTCATACTATATGCACTATGGAACTGAGATGATTTCATGAATTGGTCCCTCATTGGGCTGCCTTTAGATAGCAAGTACTAGTAGCTATCAAAAAGAAGAGTTGACAATATTCTGCAGATTGAAATAGATAACATTGGAGACAAGAAAGCATTGTTATGCTCTAAAAGATAAAAATTGGGTTCATGGCACTGCCATTTTTCCTTAAGATAATGGATTTCTTGGAAGTAAGGGCTAAGGACAAGAGTACTCCAATTAAATACTATGAATTGTTCTTTTCTGATAATATGCAATTTAATCAGTATGGACTTTACAATTTAATCACTACAATGTCACAACATCCAAGGATTGCACTATTAAAACACATCCTAACATCTTCTCTTTATATCACAATAGCTACAAATTGTTTGTTTTGAACAATCAACCACAACTAGGGGAAGTGTGTGTATGTGTGTGTGTTGAGGGGGGGGGGGGAGGCGGGGGGAGAGCAGTCTTGATCAGTTTTCAGGACTACCAAATGGTCCCAAGGTAACTAGGGTACCCCTCTCCCATGCTAACATCCCATCCATCTTGCTACCTCCCTGGAAGAACAGTCACTTCAGTATGAATTTTATGACTGCTCATTTCCCAGTCTGAGAGACTGGTCAGGTACAATGGGGGCACTATTGTACTGGTGCTATGACGCCAGACACAGGTAGTCATTAAGTGGAGGAAACGCCAGTCTACACTCGGTGTCTGATGGGTAACCTCTCACAATTCTTCCTTCTTTAGTTTTATCACCTTTTGTGTTAGGATATCTGATAGAGAGAAGACCTATAATGAGTCGTCATCATCTTAATTATTCCTCGCCCCTTTGTAATTGCATTACAATGAGGACGGTCAGTAACTGACCCCCACCCACCCACCGGGCCATGTATTGTACTTTACCACCCCGTGTATTTGACCTCTGACCTCGCCTCTAATCCATGATGGGCAGATGAAGTGGATGATGACAGTTAATCACGCCATTTCCTGCTCAATGTACAAATAAAATATATCTATCCACTGTAGGGGGTAATCAAACCGATCTTTAAAAAGCTATGAAGACAGAGGTGTTCTTCTGCATATCAAATGAACATCATTGAAAACTTCCCAAATATGTTACATTTTCATAATGAAAATCCAAAAAAAGAAAAAATCCTGAGCTGATAGAAAAAAGTTAGAAAGAAGCATTATTTGGGTCGAAATGGTATTTCCATAATGTCAGCGTGTGGCAGAGTGTGGTATCAAAAGTGGTTCTGTCCTTCTCTTCAGAGAAATCATCCAGTGCACTTATTAACACCTCAACACTGCGGTGCATCCAGTTGTATGGTCATCAGGTGGACCAAATGTGTGACCTGTCACAGCTTGGGAGGGGTGTGTTTTTACTTCTCTGTGTGGTCCAGTTCAGTTTATTTTTTCTAACCATGTGTATTGTTTTCATCAGTGAAACAACACATGTAAAGAGAAGGGCCAAATCTGTCTCCGAGTATCCTTTACCCATTTAGGTGAGGAAGGAAAAGAATAATGAGGAAATAACAAGTATCATTTTGCAAATCCTTTGCTAATTCCATTGTGTGTTGTTGAACTTAAAAGCTGTGCTAAGGGAAATGACCAAGTGTTACCAGATTTTTGCTGCTTTTTTAGAATCCTTCAGTGCTTTGTGATACCAAATGATTGGTGTGACCATGCAAGGGCCAACTTCCACCACAATCTTCAATAACATCTATACAGCTTCAACTTTTGTCCTTAGTCCTTATCAATATATAGAGATCTGTATCAATTACAAAAAAAAAAAAAAAAAAAAAAAAAAAAATTGCTTTTCCTAATTTTATCCATATTGAAGTAATGTCTGTATGTGAAAATGGTGCCTGCAGGGCTGACTTCTGCTCACAAGAAAACTCACCTTTTCTTAGAAGTGACATTTTTAGCCTCTAAAATCCACAACTGAAAGGAGTTGTCTGTCCTCCGACTCTGCTCTTGATTTGGATGAACTGTCTTGCGTAAACTGAAAACAGACATATCCTTTTAGTATCAGTTAATAAACGAAATACAAACATCAAAATGATTGTACTCTATGGTATCTTGCATAATCTGATATCAATACTTCATTAGAGAATAAGCCGAGGTTCTCTGTTATACAACTTAACATGCTAATATAATGTCAGACTAATTATGATTTGATCTTAGGATGTATTAATTTGGCTTCAAGTTGTTCCATGCCATTTCATACAAAATTAATAAAACACAAGATGACTAAGATTCAGAATGATTTAGATAGACTGCCATCAAAAGTGACATACATGCAAAAATATATCCATCATTTCTGCAATATTCATGTTTCTAAAGGCCTTCATATCCTGTCATAAATATGCGAGCGACTTTTCTCATTTTGCTTTTATAAATACACACATGTAAGGCAGCTTTATCACTTCCTTCCATACTAATTAGACATGCATATTTATATGGGAACCATTGCCATATACTTCCCAACATTATATGTATTCAGGCTATTTTCTAGTGAAAATCTCTTCCTCCCCATTTATTATAGTGCAGTCTATCTGTGACATATCTGTCTAGTTTACTAACAACTTGCAATTACACAAAAAAGGATGAACTGTTTAAATTTTGGGAAAACTTTTAAAAGCCCCCAGATGATGTACCCAGTGATGGACCTGATGTTCAGAACCAGCACCCCCCCCCTTCCCAACCTCCAAACTGTTCCCTGAAGCTCCAAAATGCAAAGGAAAGAGGTTTTCAATTGCAGCAGTAGGCAGTAGGAATATGTATTAAATCTGATACTTCTTTCTTTAACCTTGTGGTTTTAAAAATGTGAACTTAATTCCCTTTGGTACATCTGATCTAATTAATATCTTAGTTAAAAATTAAAATATGATGTCAATGACACTTCAGAAGTTGAACAGATGTTCTTCACTATGGCACACAATACAATATGGAAATGTCAAGCTTTTGTTAAGATAATAGATCAGAAAGGTCAGTCTCAAAATAAGCCACAGAGTTAAAATGTTAAATATGTCATCCAAAAACACAAATTCAAATATCAGTCCAAAGTTGTGCCTAATATTCTTGAGCTTTGAACTATAATCAATCAATAAAAAAAGGTGATGAAAGATCAATATATGTTATATAGACAGTGATGTGACATTTGGAGCTTTCCAATTGAGGTTTTCATTCCCTCTGTTAGGAAAATATTCGCAATATGTAACATATGCCTTCATCTATCATGCAAGGAGCATATGTGTTAAACCCTTTGCCATAAATGCTTTGAACATGGAGCCATTCTTAATGTGTCACTTTCCAAGGGGGCATAGATAGTTACAAATCTCCATATGATATATGATTTCATTTTTCATGGATGATATGAATAACCTCAAGGCCATGGCCTGTTTAATAGTAAATGAATAAAGTGCACTGACCCAGTATGTGTCATTACTTTACCATGCCTATTATTTCACCAAGCCTGGGAAATGTTGGATCGGAACTGACTGAAACAGCCATACAGTGCATTAGTGTCAAACTTGAGTCCACTTCCTAACACACAACACATAGCCACAATAATAACCATGATATCTGTTACTGTACAACCAGGCTTGAGCTAAACTGCTGATTAATTCCACCCAAACCCACCTCATGTCAAAACTCTAGATCAAACATCTGACAGAAACATGAACTTCATAGTTGAACTGCATATCAGACAAGTATGTATTAAATCAACTTTAATTCTTCACTTGAATGCCTTAAACCCACCAAACCCAGCCACACCAGCCAGCACTGATGCCAGTGAAATCAGAGAGCAACATCACACATTTACTTGTACAGCAAACCAGGTCAAAACATCTCCATCTAGAACTTGATACAAAAACTCAAGTTAATACCCATGTCAATTTACAAAACTACCAACTTGACCAAAACCTACCTCATTTTGTGACATTTAAAACCAGTCCTGGCTTGGGTACATCTTTTGTCTCAGCCTTTCATGTCAACACTGACTGTATATATCCTAAACCAGCAGTTGTTATCACAGCACGCTATCTATTGGACTGAACTGCCTACACAGCTAGTCAGTGCTATTACTCTCAGCAGCAGAGGAGGGGGGTCCTACTTCCCTCACATAAACAGCCTTTGGGGCTCACTTGGTACACGTTGGCTGCCTTTTACTACGTGATATTCCCAAGTTACGTCAGGGCTCAAAAAGAGCCAATATTTTTACACTGTTCTTGAATGAGATGATGCTCCTTTTGCTGAGGTCAGAGAGGAAAGTTCCCTTATGTCCTCATTAAATACTATGTCACATCTCAGTTATCTTAGCTGATCTGAGACATGGTAAAGAGATGAGGTCAGAGAAGGCAATTGAGAGCTCAGCTTTGACTGGCTTGAGAGGTTCTACTCACAAATAACAGCAGCAGCATTGTTCTGGTTGGTCAGGAGGGGAAAACCCCCTTTTGATGCCCATCTGCTGTGTGGGAAGTGGGGGAAAATTAGAGCAATTTATTAGTTAAAGTGGCTTTTCAAAACAGAGTGAAATCTTTGAGGTAGTGCCAAACCCAGCTGAGTACATCTGCTGTTCCCGTAGATGGATGCAGTGTTCAAAGACTACAGGCGTAAAAGTGGTATTATTGAAGAAACTCCTCAAGGGACCAACTATTTGCTTAGCCTGTTTTTTTTTTTTATTTCACTCAGTTCTTCTACATTTTGGCAGTATTTCATGAACCTTGTTTTGTTTTAATAAACCAAATACATATTGTTATATTTACTTTGAAAATTGAAAAGCAAACTGAAAATTATCCAATTAATTTAATTTAGGACTACATGTCCTACAAGGTTATAATCTATCAAAATATTTATCTCCTTAAAATAAAAATATTTATTTGATTCCTCAACTGTTCCGCTATTATTTCAATCATATCTGAACAGTAAAAAAAAAAACAAAAAAAAAACACTGATTTTTATCATTATCTTATTCTATTTGATTTGAAAATTTTCAAAAAAAAAAAAAAAAAAAAAATCAGCTCTGTGTAGAGAAAGTGCACATTAAACCTAGCTCAAGAGGCTCCCATGCCTGCCCACTCTCTTTTCTCTGCTGTTTAAACCTGCAGTGAAGTGGAACAGAGGGTGGGTACCTTATCTGATCCACACTGCCCTGATCATCTTCTTATCTCCCTCAAGGGTCTTTTATCTCTCCAACTGTAACTTCAGCCAGTCTAACTTTCTACTGCATTGTTTGGGAGGCCTTTTGTATGGAGATAACCAATATACCTAGGGACTGGGTCCCAGACTGGGATAACTATCTGCTAACTAAGGACCCAGATAAAGGACTGTCAGGCTTGTTAAGTCACAGCTCCTCTACATCATTATTGTCAAGTTTAAAATAGGTACACAGATAAAAGACTGTCAACCTTGTAATGGTGCACATCCTCATATTGTACATGTTATGATCTGACACAATGAAGTAGGTTACATTTTCATAAGCAACAGTATGTCTGTATATAAAACTTAAATCACAAATTTTGATGAAATGTTCAGGATAGACAGGTTTTCAGGAGGNAAAAAAAAAAAAAAAAAAAAAATCAGCTCTGTGTAGAGAAAGTGCACATTAAACCTAGCTCAAGAGGCTCCCATGCCTGCCCACTCTCTTTGCTCTGCTGTTTAAACCTGCAGTGAAGTGGAACAGAGGGTGGGTACCTTATCTGATCCACACTGCCCTGATCATCTTATCTCCCTCAAGGGTCTTTTATCTCTCCAACTGTAACTTCAGCCAGTCTAACTTTCTACTGCATTGTTTGGGAGGCCTTTTGTATGGAGATAACCAATATACCTAGGGACTGGGTCCCAGACTGGGATAACTATCTGCTAACTAAGGACCCAGATAAAGGACTGTCAGGCTTGTTAAGTCACAGCTCCTCTACATCATTATTGTCAAGTTTAAAATAGGTACACAGATAAAAGACTGTCAACCTTGTAATGGTGCACATCCTCATATTGTACATGTTATGATCTGACACAATGAAGTAGGTAACATTTTCATAAGCAACAGTATGTTTGTTTATAAATGGATGTCTCATAAACTTAATAACAAAGTTTGATGAAATGGTCAGGATAGACAGGTTTTCAGGAGGGATGGTAGGAATTATAATTTTAACTGAATGCAAGTACATTGATATTCTAAAAATAATTTAACTTTTTCCTTGTTGGAGGGTTGTGTTCTTGGAATGTCCTCTAGTTTGAATATACTGGCAGACTTGGGAAATTAAGCCCCCCACCCCTTTTCATAACTGCCCCATTACTGAGGTTGTCACATTTGTTTGAGGTTGTCACATTTGTTTCAGTTTAATATTGTATGTTACAATAGTCAAACTACAACAAATAACAGACAGAAGGCTGATTAACTTATTCAATGTTTGGATTGGCTGTGTTATTCCCTCATATTTACCTGTACAACATCATAATTACAAAGCCGCCAGCCAAGAGTCGGCTTATCTCTTAATTAAAACATGGCTCCTGATAAAAAGTGACAAGCTGGTTATGGCATGTTGTGCCTGTAATTTCTCATATTGTTCACTTCTATAATTACACGTCCAATATACAGTTCACTTATCTGGAGAAAAGAACCTGGATAAAAGGTGGCGGGGTTAATTACAACGTTTATGTCTAGCATGTGTCATAATAAACTGGATGGGCTATTAATGATTTAACTCCCAGCTTTCACTGAAACTTTTAATTTTGCCTTTTGTCTACCATGTAACATTTTAATACTATAGTCTTAATTCATTGCACATTTTCCAACTTTTCGCAGTTGCAAGTTATATATGAAGATAATTGTGTTTTAAAAATTAAAAAAAAATCAACAGGTTTTTCTTGAGAAAACAATATATACAGAATGCAATATCTGAATATTATATGACAATGGTTAACAATGCTTTGGTTATTTGGTATATTAAATTTATAGAAATGGGGTGGTGTGGATAGAGTACTCAACCTGTCAAAATA